TAATCGCAAATCAAATCGCAATATCCGTCAGAAAAATCGCAATTAGATATTTTACCCAAATCGTTCAGCCCTAGTGTGTGTTATTTGTGTGTGTGTTATTTGTGTGTGTGTTATTTGTGTGTGTGTTGTGTGTGTGTGTGTTATTTGTGTGTGTGTTATTTGTGTGTGTGTGTGTGTTATTTGTGTGTGTGTGTGTGTGTTATTTGTGTGTGTGTGTGTTATTTGTGTGTGTGTGTGTTATTTGTGTGTGTGTGTGTTATTTGTGTGTGTGTGTAGTGTGTTATGGTGACTGTGTGGGCAGCGGTAGTGTAGTGGTTAGCGCGCCGCGCTACGAACACTGCAACCCAAGTTCGATTCCCGCTCACGGCCAACACCAGTGGCGATTATCTGAACCAGTTCTAGCCCTCCTCTAGGTCGACTCAGACTTAAATGAGTACCTTGTGAGGTGTGTTAAACATCGCCACTCGGGAGACAAAGGCGGCCGGGCATGGTGCTGGCCACCTACCCTCTCGTGTGCCGTTCCGGTCTTCATAGGTGCTCGCTAACAGCACTTGCCCCAACAGTCTGTTCAGGCTACACGGGGGGGGGGGGGGGGTCTTTCTTTGTGTTCAAGTGTGTGTGGGATGTGTATTTGTGTGTGTATCGTGTATCTGATGTGTACAAGGTGTCTGTGGAATGTGTAATTTTTTTTTGTATTGTGTGGTCCATGTGTGTATTGTGTGTGTAAGTCTTGTTTTGTATACAGTATTGTGGTTGCAGCTTTGTGTCTGTGATGTATGCTGTGTAAGTGTTGTGCCTATTGTTTGTGAGAGACCCGGTAACAACACAGCGGCGTGGCGCGCGTGTTCTCAGGGGTTTGTTTCGAGGAGCCCCTCCATCCCATCCCACGGCGCCTCCTTCACCCCTTCCAAACTCGCTGGAGGGTTGAGATTAGCCTCGAGACAGACTCTGTGGCCTTGTCCTGTACCCCGTGTACCAGCCCTGCCCCCCTACCCCGTGTACCAGCCCCGCCCCCCTACCCCGTGTACCAGCCCCGCCCCCCTACCCCGTGTACCCGCCCCCCTACCCCGTGTACCAGCCCCGCCCCCCTACCCCGTGTACCAGCCCCGCCCCCCTACCCCGTGTACCAGCCCTGCCCCCCTACCCCGTGTACCAGCCCCGCCCCCCTACCCCGTGTACCAGCCCCGCCCCCCTACCCCGTGTACCCGCCCCCCTACCCCGTGTACCAGCCCCGCCCCCCTACCCCGTGTACCAGCCCCGCCCCCCTACCCCGTGTACCAGCCCTGCCCCCCTACCCCGTGTACCAGCCCCGCCCCCCTACCCCGTGTACCAGCCCCGCCCCCCTACCCCGTGTACCCGCCCCCCAACCCCGTGTACCAGCCCCGCCCCCCTCCCCCGTGTACCAGCCCCGCCCCCCTACCCCGTGTACCAGCCCTGCCCCCCGACCCCGTGTACCAGCCCCGCCCCCCTACCCCGTGTACCCGCCCCCCTACCCCGTGTACCAGCCCCGCCCCCCTACCCCGTGTACCAGCCCTGCCCCCCTACCCCGTGTACCAGCCCCGCCCCCCTACCCCGTGTACCAGCCCCGCCCCCCTACCCCGTGTACCCGCCCCCCTACCCCGTGTACCAGCCCCGCCCCCCTACCCCGTGTACCAGCCCCGCCCCCCTACCCCGTGTACCAGCCCCGCCCCCCCCTACCCCGTGTACCAGCCCCGCCCCCCGACCCCGTGTACCAGCCCCGCCCCCCTACCCCGTGTACCCGCCCCCCTACCCCGTGTACCAGCCCTGCCCCCCTACCCCGTGTACCAGCCCTGCCCCCCTACCCCGTGTACCAGTCCCGCCTCCCTACGCCGTGTACCAGCCCCGCCTCCCTACCCCGTGTACCAGCCCCGCCCCCCTACCCCTGTACCAGCCCTGCCCCCCTTCCCCGTGTACCAGCCCTGCCCCCCTACCCCGTGTACCAGCCCTGCCCCCCTACCCCTGTACCAACCCAGCCCCCCTACCCTGTGTACCAGCCCTGCCCCCCTACCCCTGTACCAACCCAGCCCCCCTACCCCGTGTACCAGCCCTGCCCCCCTACCCCTGTACCAACCCAGCCCCCCTACCCCGTGTACCAGCCCTGCCCCCCTACCCCTGTACCAACCCAGCCCCCCTACCCTGTGTACCAGCCCTGCCCCGTACCCTACGTACCAAGCCTATCCTTGTATCCCTCGCACCCACCAGCCTCCAGGTGACAATGATGATGCTGCTGCTGATACTAAAGTCATTAAAGCTGATGCTGCTGACGATGCTTCCAGTAATGAAGCTGCTGCCCATGCTGCTGCTATTGTTGTTGACCGCAGTGTTCTGGGACGAGGGAACAAAGGGGGCTACTCGGAGGAGAGACGAACAGGGCAGCCACTAGCCCGGCCTCATCTGCGCCTGCCCGTGCATGCGTGTTGTGTGCCACTGCGGTCACGCCTGTTTGCACGCGTATATCCATCGATGTGTTTACACCTGTGTGTGACTCCATTATCATGTCCCTCTCGCCTGACACTGCAGTCTCTCTTGAGCTCGATGCTGTGGCCAGTAGCCCAACACCCCATGGCTCACACGGAGAACAAAGGACGTCGAGCCGGCGTTGGTGCCTGTGTGTGTGCATCTGCGCCTGTGTGTCAGTGCGTTTGCGCATGGGTGCATCTGCGCCTGTGCGTTTGTTTCTTTGTGTCATGCTTTGTTTTTGTGCTTGTGTTCATGGCTGTGTGTGTGATTTAATGTGTATCTGTACCTGTGTGCCGATGTTTCTTGACCACTGTGCGCATGTCTGCATGTGTGGGCTTGCCTGTGCCGCTGTGTGTGCCTGCCTGTGTGTGCCCTGTGTAGGCTACACGGTCAAAGGGGGCCTTTGTCTTTGTGACCGTGAACCAGGCTCGAATCCCAGCCATGGCTAACATCAGCGGCAATTATTGGAACCAGCCCTGGGTCTCCCTTAGGTTGACTCGGCCTTAAATGCGTTCGCTGGTGTGGCGGTGTATTAAACATCTTCACTGGGGAGATGCAGGCGGCCGGGTATGGTGCTCAGCGCACCACCCCATGTGCACCGTGTACATGTTTTGGTGACGCGTTGGTGTTCATGTTCTCCAGCAGAGACCCAGTCTGCTTACAATCAGTCACCATTCTGTGCTGTCGTCTGCACTGCATGGTGGGTTATGTACGGTGCAAAAGAAGTTCTACATACATGCATGCATGCATACGTGCTTTCCTCTCCAGCAGCAATTACTTTCTCTTTATCCTCTTTTCAACTTTTTTTGTTGAATATAAAATGTTATCGTCATTCATGGAAGTCAGAATACAGAGTAGATTTCAAAAAGGGGATACAAACGGCAGGTAACGTTGAACAAACCCAGCGCTAGAAACCCCCAAAGTGTAGGGACCGAGCGGGGCCATCCGGGCTCTGGCTGCCCGACCGCAGTCGGGGTAAAGATCGGGAGCAGGGTGGGAGCAGTGTGGGAGCAGGGTGGGAGCAGGGTGGGGGCAGGGTGGGGGCAGGGTGGGGGCAGGGTGGGAGCAGTGTGGGGGCAGGGTTGGAGCAGTGTGGGAGCAGGGTGGGAGCAGGGTTGGATCAGTGTGGGGGCAGGGTGGGAGCAGTGTGGGAGCAGGGTGGGAGCAGGGTGGGGGCAGGGTGGGGGCAGGGTGGGGGCAGGGTGGGGGCAGGGTGGGGGCAGGGTGGGAGCAGAGTGGGGGCAGTGTGGGGGCAGGGTGGGAGCAGTGTGGGGGCAGGGTGGGGGCAGGGTGGGGGCAGGGTGGGGGCAGGGTGGGAGCAGGGTGGGAGCAGGGTGGGAGCAGGGTGGGAGCAGGGTGGGAGCAGGGTGGGAGCAGGGTGGGAGCAGGGTGGGAGCAGGGTGGGGGCAGGGTATTTTAAGGGGAGGGGAAGAAGATGGTATAACAGGAAGGGGGTGGGGTATATTTAAACTTTCTTACTTGGCCTTCTTCAAATTTGTATCAAATTATAAAATTGTATGTTATACCTTAAAGTTCTTAATATATCGTGTAGTTAAATTTCCTTGGGTGTTTGCGTGTTACTCAGCGGCTGAGATTTAGGTAACTTCATATGCCAATTTATAAACTGGTCATCAGTAAACATGTTTACAATATCATTCCTATCAGGCCCCATGGTGTAAGCAAGTGCAGTCTCCAACTTTATCATCAACACATTTGCCAAGAACACTTTTTCGCCTTTAAAATTAAAACTATAATAGGTGACGTTTTGAGCGATGACCCTTCAGTGTAGCTACGAGTCGTATACTGTTTTGTGAAGGGGCCATTCCCCTAAACGTCGCCTATTATGTATTTTCAAGGCCACACACACACAGGCAGTGTTATCGACTAATGTGTTTGAGGTTTTTTTATGTAACCCAAATCGCCCTCGCAAAAGGGGCAAATGATTATTTATTTAGTGTGCGTGCGCTGAGCCGCGCGGGGCAGTAGCTTCGTCGTTAGCAGAGCGCGGCGGCGGTGTCCACGGGCCTCCGCTGGGCTTGGTTAGCGAACGCCGACTTCAGCGGGGGGGGGGGGGGGGGTTGGGGGGGGGGGCGCCCGATCGTCTGGCTTACGCCGTGGCTTTAGTGCGGGCTGTCGCGTAGTGACCCCCCCCCCTCCTCCCCACCTGCGCAGGCTCCGCTGTGCGCAACTGTTGAGCGCGGCTCGGTCACGGCGCCGGAGATGCAACCCAGGCGGGCGGATCGGCTCCTTGTTTCACCTGTGTGTCTCCGTGGGTTTATTTCACCTCCCGGTGAAATAAAGGAGGCCGATTGTGCCAGCCTGAATAGGTGTCTGCTAACGGTGCTCGCCCCAACTGCTCGTTCGGCTATTGGAGGCTCTTTGTGTGTGTGTGTCCATGCCTTCCCGAGTTCATAACAGTGTGTCTACGCTAGCGTGAGCCATGTGTATGTGTGTGCTTATGTAACTGCGTGTGTGTTTATACCTGTCTGCTTCTGTTTGTGTGCCTGTGCATGTCTGTACCATCATGTGTTTATGTTTCTGTATGTCTGTACCATCATGTGTTTATGACTGTGTCTGCCTGTGTGTGCCTCTGATGGGAACCAGGCCCAGATGAAGTTCCCCCAGGACTACCCGTACTCGCCCCCCACGTTCAAGTTCCTCACCAAGATGTGGCACCCCAACGTGTACGAGGTGAGTGGGGGGGCGGGGTATGGGAGCGTCAAGGGTGGCGGGCACCCCACACCATACACGCGCCGGTCAGAGGAAACACATTGGGGGGGGGGGCGCGGGGGAGGGAGTTTGGTGCCGCGAGGGGGCGCAGGGAAAGGAAACAAACGGGGGAAGTGACAAGCGGACTTGTTGTGGCCTCCGGTGCTGCACGACTCTCTCGGTTGCGTGCGCTTGAGACGTTCGCTGTTGTCGCAGTGTCGCGCTGTGCACGAGCGATGACTGCTAGCCACGTGTGCCGCGTTTCAGGGAAGTTTGGCTGTGCAAGTTGTTTTAGTGACATGTAGTGGTATTGTGTGGGTGACGTGGTGTCTGTTCCTCACTGTGCCTATGTGTACGGTTGTGTTTGTTTGCCCGTGCGTATGTCTGCGCCCGTGTGTACCTGTGCGCGTGTACCTATGTGCTATGTTAACGCCATTAAATGAGTACCTGATGCGGGATGTTGTAAACGTCAGCATGTGCCGGGCTGTTCTTCATAGGTGCTGGCTTTCGAAAGTGAGTGCTAATAGCACTTGCCCCAGAAGTCCGTTGAAGGCTAAGCGGGGGATCTTTGTCTTTGTGTGCTCACCGGGTGCCGGCAGAATGGAGACGTGTGCATCTCCATCCTGCACCCGCCTGTGGATGACCCCCAGAGTGGGGAGCTGCCCTCGGAGCGGTGGAACCCCACGCAGAACGTCCGGTACTTATCCTCACCCCCCCCCCCCCTCCATGCGGCGAATCGGTCGGAGCGGACCGAGTTTACAATAACTGTGCTAAGATTGCCGAAGCTATTCCGTGGGGTCGGAGGTCCTCAGATGGATTCCCCGGCAAAGCATGTGGGGGGTGAGCGATAGATTGCAGTCGCTGTTAAGCGCCTCCTTAATTTCCTACTTACGGGGGAAGTCGCACAAAGAGCTATACGCCAATACGATACGATACGATGGCCATGGGAGTGATGGGTTACACTTCGCCTCACTCACAGTTGGGCGACTTGAACTCTGATCGCGAGAAACCGTAGTGCGCTATCCACGACGCCGCGGACATAACAACCACTACGGCAACAGCAGCCATTTGCTACTGAGTGGCGGTGACATCACCCTGGCTCTTGTGCCACACTAAGGGTTTGAGGCCGTCACGTGAAGCGTGGAAAGCTCGCTGCTGGCAGGTGTTGTGGGTTACACCAGGGGGTTGGCAACCAAAATAACAGCCACTTTTTTCGAATTCGGTAAAAAAACGCCACATTTCAAGAGCCGCCATGCAACGTGAATATAAGATGGTGGTCCTCAATAAATAAACGTCACAAAGCGGTCCTTGAAGAGCCACCGCATGCGGCTCCGGAGCCGCAGGCTGCCGACCCCTGGGTCCAATGACCGAGGAGACTGGCGGATGCACCACCTGCCCTCCCGCTGTGCCCACGCGGGCGCGCACACCGGCGGTCCATACGAGTTGCGATGACGGTTCCATTGTTTTAACTCCCCCCCCCTCCGTGCGGCGCTGCTACAGGACGATCCTGCTGAGCGTGATCTCGCTGCTGTCAGAGCCCAACACCTTCTCGCCAGCCAACGTGGACGCGTCGGTCATGTACCGCCGCTGGCGCGACAGCCGGGCCAAGGACAAGGAGTACGAGAACATCATCCGGTGCGGGTGCCCGCCCACAGCACGCACAGCGTCGGCCGCATGCGCGCGTACACACGGCATCGTCCACACGGCATCGTCCACGCACGATGACCATCGACGATCGCCACAGAGTGGTGGTGACGTCGCCCCGGCGCTTGTGCCGGGTGGGATGCACTTTTGAGGCCGCCAAGCGAAGTGCGGAAGGCTCGCTGCGGGGCAGGTCGTTGGTGAACTGGTTCACCGGCACCAGTCCGTACGCACGTGCCTGTGCGGCAATTCACCGGCCAGCCACCCGATGCGATTCGATTACTCGTGGCCACAATTTTGTAGTCGAGGTTCTACTCCAAAGTTCTTGATGTTTTGTTACTCTCGTACCGTCTGGTTCATATTGTTTTAATGGTTCCGATTCTGTTGTCCGCGCGTGTGTCCGCGCGTGCCTTTGCCCGCGGCGAGCAGCATGCGGGTGCTGGCGACGCAGGCGGACGCGGACCGCGATGGCGTGAAGGTGCCCACCACGCTCGCAGAGTACTGCGTGAAGCCGCGGGCGCCGCCCCCCCGAGACTCGACCTCCGACCTCCTCTACGACGACTTCTGCGACGACCTCGATGAGGAGGAGGACGACGACGACAACGAGGACGGATACTACGACGGCGGAGACAACAACGACTCTGGCAACGAGGAGTCCTGACGGCACGGCCCCGTCACCCGGCGACCTCTCCCCCCCCACCCCCCACTGCTCCCGCCTGCTCCTCTCTCTCTCTCTCTCAACGCAGGCCGCTCAATTCCCACAATCCCCCCCCCCCCCCCCCCCCCCGATATGCCGCCAAACCCGGGCCGACTGCGGCCATTGTAAAATACATTGCGCGATAACTCACAGTAATGATGGCTAACGAACGGCGGCAGCGGCAAAGATGCAAAGGAGGCGATGCGAGTGGTGGTGGCGCGGGCAGCGTGATTCAGTAGGGTAGCTTTGCCCCCTCCTCATAAGCTCTCCCCTCCGCCCCTCCCACCCTGAAACCCCCAAATAAATGACCTCAAAAATCCCTTTTTATAATTTTTGCCAGCAACTCCATCAGTCGTGACAACAGCAGTAGCAGCGAGGCACCGACAGCGCCCACAGTTGTTTTGCAGCAAAGGTTCTTCCCCCCCCCCCCCCCATATCCTGTGCGCAATATAAATAATAAAACAAACTTTTAAAGAGAGTAAGTTAGAAATAAAAATGTTAAGCTGACAAGGGCGTGTTTGTGATGAGTGAACAGGCCATCTCGGCCTCCGAGCGCCAGCGAACTGGCGTCGCGCGTGCGCACCCGACGAGACCGTGCCCGTCTCGTTTCAACACTTTTGGTTTTGCGTTTGATATTTTATTTCGTGAAGTGCTTCTGTTCCCCACCGTAACGTTACCGTCTCCTGTCCTCGTTGCGTTTTTCGAGATTGTGCTCGTTTAGTAAAGTTTTGCGTTTAAATTCGTCTGTTACCTTCTCTTCCTCTCTCCATTCCATTTCTTGGGCCCTAAGTCAACGCTTTGGAGTGCGAGGGAGACCCAGGGGTAGAGGCCAGGGCGCGGGACGCCAAGGAGTGAGAATCCGGTGACCTTTGGGTTGGTGGGGGCCACCGCGGGGACACGTGGCCTCGACCCCCCCTCCCGGAGTCGACCCCCGCGGTGCGAGTTGAGGCACTGTCGTGTGCTTCACAAAGCTCTGCGTGCCCCGCGCGGCTTGAGCCTCCCTCCCCTCATTGGTCTTCCTAACCTACGCCGCAAACTCCGGGCCGCATTAGAGTGACGGACTAGTGAGAGTGTTCATGTACGTTTGACTCTGTTGGCACGCACACACACACGCACGCGCGCGTTTATGCACGGGCACGTCTGTACCCGCCTCTGTCTTAGACCTGTGGCTGTAAATAAAGGATGTCGATCCGCCCAGAGCTCCATCTACACGTCTGTGTTTCCATGGGCGCGTCGTCGGTGTGCGTGCGTGCGTGCAACACGGAGATAACTGCGGCCGAATGGCGGTGCGGAATGTTGCATAGGTTTAATTTATTGGGAAAGAGGGGGGAAGGAAAAAAACCTCAGACTCGGGCGCACGGACCGAACGCACGCGTCGCTGTCATGTGCCCGGCGCGACGGCGTTACTTCCCGTCGGGCTCGCGGATGAGGGCGAGCAGGCGCTCGAGCTTGGCCGTCTCGGCCTCGGGGCCCCGTGCCGTCTCCTGGCCCTTCTTCTCCTGCGGGCGGCACACGCGGGCAAGCGGTCACCTCCAGCCTCAACCAATGGGTTTCCACTGAACGCCATTTCGTGGTTCCCCGCTCGGCACGTCTCGAATTTGACCGATTTACCTTCCGTTCGAGGACGAATTGGGTGTTGTTACACACGACTTGTGCCTGATGATTTCTAAACTCTTCCCACGTGACGCGGAGTTGGCCGACCGTGGCCTCGGGGCGGCGATTTGAATGGGCGCGCTCCCGCGTGCGGACATAGCAGGATGTGTTTGCAAATCGTCTGGCACGAACATCGTGTGACTTTTTGGATTTCAACGGAGAGTAAAACGGGCAGACGCGCCGTGGCAGGTCGCAAGGTTTTGAAAACCGTGGGCGCATGGCCACAGGAATGAATGGTGACCAGGAACTGAAAAAAAACCTGGGCATCGAGGCACAAAGCGGCGCCAACCCAAACCATCGCTGGCGCCTGCAGGATAACGTGGCGATTGTCAAGACGGAGCGACCGGTGCGTGTGAGACACGAAGCCGATCTGTGTGTGGAGGCCAGGTTACGTGACCAATGTCGGCAGAGGCTGACGTGGGTCTACGCATCGACCCCACTCCACACACAATCTTGTCTGCGGTGTGTTGGATCAGAGCAGATGAGCATGCTCCTTTGATCTACGCACTTTGCAAACATTTCAACAATTTCGTCAACACTGGCCTTGAAATTAAAATATAAAAGTCTACGTTTTTGGCAAAGGCCTTTCTTCATAGCACATAAACCATTACCTGAAATGCCACCGATTATATATATTTTCCTTTCAAGGCCACACTTATTATTGACAAATGTGTTGATTTTCTTTGTTAATTGTGCTTTTGCACCACACTTCCAACGTGGCATCATCACCAAATAATGTCGTCATACATGTATGTGTATATACAGGGCTTAATTTCTTAAGTCAAATATTTTCCGGGTCTCTGGCCAGAGGAGGTGGCACGTGACTCGCCACAGTCGTTGCCACAGCCATAGCGAGAGTAAACTGGATGTGGTGCGCCAGATAGGAACATCATTTTTAGGGTTCGCTGACTCCGAAGACGAGACTTGATTGAAATTAAGCTCCGGTCTAGAGTATAAACAGACATATGTAGACAGTATACATTATATACTGTTAACAGTATATAATGTATTGCACTGTTAGCAGCAGCAGCGCACTGCCGGCGCCGCACGTACTCCCGCGTCTTCCTCCGTCGGCCAGCACGACGGGTCGCCCTCCTCCTCCACCAGCTGGACCCGGCGAGCACGGTGGTGGAGCGGCACAAACAGAGACACGGTGAGCGTGGAGGGTGGCTCGCCGGGGAGGTGACCGGCGGGGGTGGGGGGTGGGAGCCTGGCGAAGGGCAGGCGGTGAGAGGTAGCAGTAGGGTCGGGGTCAGTGAAAGGGCTCGTACTGGCGGCTGTTAGCGAGGCAGGGTTAGTGTCGGTGAGAGCGGCACGCACGCACACTAGCGCGCACCTTGGGCATGCGCCGCAGATTGGGCGACAGCTTGAGGCTGGAGACGACGCCGCGGTCATCTCCGATGATGAGCACGGGCTGCGAGGGGTTGAAGGCGACGTGCGTGAGCTTCGTGTGCTTCTTGGTGGACACGCTCTGCGTGCACAGCGCCTCGTATTTGTTCACGTTCACGTCGAACACGTGCACCTGCATCCCCCCCGCACGCACGCACGCACGCACGAGACACGCGACAAGCAATATGGGCATCTGCCTTGGGACCGCGGGGAGGCTGGAAATCACCGTGGCACGGCGGAACACCGAGAGCGCGCGAGCGAATGGAGGGATCGCCAGGGGAACCCTCCATTCTATCGAGCAGCCCGAATACTAGCCGAGCGCTCGCCTAAATGCTAGCCCCAGGGCGAGCTCAAACGCTAGCCCATAGGTTAGTCAGAACGTTAGCCCGATGCTTGCTCCTTGGCCGTCATGGACGCTGGCCCTCCGGGCCGTCACGAACCTTCCCATCGGCGGTGACGGCGGCGAACACGGTAGAGGAGTAGGGGGCCCAGGCGACGTCGCCCACGGCAGCTCCCAGGTCGAATGTGAACACGGGCGCCCTGGGGTCACCGCAGAACACGGGCAGGCACGTGCATCGCATGACGCAGCCCAGACAATGGCAAAACAACAACAAGACTCGTAATCGACTACCCAGGAAAATTTAGGGAAAACGAACAGTTCTTAACTGAATTTGATTCAAGTGCATCTGTGCGTCCGATTGTCAGTCGATCGTTCGTAACGCGGCACAAGTTTAACTTAAAATTGCATTCAGTGGCGTTGGAGAATAAATTAGAGAGAGAAGTCGTGAGATTCCGCCAGAAGTGACGACACCGAAGCCGATGTGTGGGGCGGTGGGAGAGGAGGAGGTGGAAGTGAATTCCAGCCGACCGGAGCTGCGACGGAGAAGGGATGTTTGCCCCGTCTGGTGCGAGAGTGGATGGGGCTGGACGAGGAGGCCACTGGAGGCCGATCGGAGGTGGCGAGACGGAATGTACGATGAGACAGCAACTATGCCGGTTGACATGGTGTGTGTTTTGTAAAGGGTTCTCGAGTCATTTTCGACTGACCGGCAGGAACTAGGGACCTATGGTGTTTCACAACATTCGTGCGATCCAACAACTCTGGACTCCACAGTGCTGGATTACAGGCATGTGGTGATCTTGTGTACATAGGCGTGTGTGTGCATGTGCGCGCGTACGTGTGTGTGTCTGCGTGTGTGTGTGCGTGTGTGTGCGTGTGTGTGCGTGTGTGTGTGTGCGTGTGTGTGCGTGTGTGTGTGTGCATGTGCGCGCGTACGTGTGTGTGTGCGTGTGTGTGCGTGGGCTCACTTGGACGTGTGCTCCCAGATCTTGAGGCTCCAGTCGGCGCTGCAGGAGGCGAAGACGCGCGTGTGGAAGGGGTTCCAGCGCACAGCCTCCACCGCCATGTGGTGCGCCTCGTACGTGTCCAGGAACTGGCTCGAGTACGCCTTGGAGCACTGCGCGCACGTATATATGTATATATACTCTTTGGTTCTTTCGGTAAAGTCACGTAGGCAGAAAAATAATAGATCACGACGTTTCGATCGCAACGCAAGCAATCGCCATCAGGCGTAGCCAACCGTGCTAGTCGGAGGTGCGAGGGGAGGACAACACACTAAACACAAAAAGCAGTTCTAGAGAAATGAGTTTTCAATCTCGATGACGATTTAAAAGTGCAGAGCTCCAGTGGCTTCCTAATATTGGAAGGAAGAGCGTTCCAGATGGCCACAGTAGCGCATCTGAAAGCGGCGCGCGATGCGGTGACCGTCTTTGTTCAGTCACTGAACGGCAGTCACGTGTGACCCCCAGGCAGAAGAATTGCGTGATGTGGGCGACACGCGTCATGTGGGCGACACGCGTGATGCGGGCGACACGCGTGATGCGGGCGACACGCGTGTGCGGGCGACACGCGTGTGCGGGCGACACAGGCAACTGAGCTCGGTTGAGCGAGCAATGCATCACCTTGAGAATCGTCCCCTCCTCGGTCCCCACGAGGAACATGTGGTCGATCTGCCGGTGGAAGTCGAAGGACGTCCCGCTACCTGGCGTCGCAGCGGGAGGAGAGAGAGGGCGACCAAGAGAAGGTGGAGGGCACGGCAGAGTTATGGGAGGCACGACACGCGTGACGTGAGCGTTCGGTGCACACGTGTGCACGTGGCGACCCCGTGTGAGCGTGTGCATGCTAGTGCACACGAGCAGGTGCGTGTGTGTGCTAGCGCGTGGCGTGCTACGAATCCCGCGAACCAAGTTTGATTCCCGCTCACAGCCAACACCAGTGAGGATTATCTGAACCAATCCTCGACTCATCCTCAATTGAGTACCTGGTGAGATGAATAAACATCGCCACTAGGGAGACAAAGGCGACCGGGTGTGGTGCTGACCCCTCGTGTGCAGTGCCGGCCTTCATAGGTGCTCGCTAACAGCACTTGCCCCAACAGTCTGTGCAGGCTATATGTGGGATCTTTGTCTTTGTACGCGAGGGTGGTGCTTATGCGTGTGTGTGCGAGCACGTGCGTGTGTGTGTGCGTGTGTGCGCTTGCGTGTGTGTGTGCGCGTGCATGCGTGTGTGTGTGCACGTGCGTGTGTGTGTGTGCACGTGTGTGTGTGCACGTGCGTGTGTGTACGTGCGTGTGTGTGTATGCGTGTGTGCACGTGTGTGTGTGCGTGTGTGTGTGTGTATGCGTGTGTGTGTTCACGTGCGTGTGTGTACGTGCGTGTGTATGCGTGTGTGTGTGCGCGTGTGTGCGTGTGTGCGTGTGTGTGTGCACGTGTGTGCGTGTGTGCGTGTGGCTACTCAGAGTCTCTAAGACCGGGTCCTCGCCGAGCGGCGCCGCTTGCCCCTCCTCCGCGCTCAGCTTCACCACGTCCATGCACAGCAGCTCGTTCTGCAGAGGAGACGCGTGCGCCAGGCGTGCATGACTCCTTCACGGGTGTGTTTGTGCACGTGCGCGTGTGTGTATGCACGCACGAACGTGTGAACGTGCGTGACGTGTTTGTATGTGTATTTGTGTGTACGTGTGCGTGCGTGTGTACGTGGGTAGTGGTGGCACCACCCGAATTGGATTCCCGCTCACGGCCAATACCGGTGACGAACATATGAACCAGTCCTGGGCCTCCTCTAGGTCGATTCAGCCTCCCGGTGGATCTGTGTCTCTGTGCATGTGTGTGTGCGCCTCACCTTGATGAGTGTCCAGGAGGCCACGCGCCCGTCCGAGGACACCGAGAAGAAGTTTAAGTTATTGTCCAGGTCGTCCCTCTGCCACTTGACCTGCGGCACGAGTCGTGAAAGTAATCACTCGTTCAACGTCCGCATTCGCCGCATTCACCCCCTTCGTCCGCCCACTCTCACCTGGCGCTGCTGCTGTGTTGGCATTGGTGCACAAGCACAGCGAACAAACTCGTTCGTCAACATGAACACTGCCACTCTACCTCTCCGGCCCCTCTCGGCGAACTGTGAGAAAGGGCCATTGCCCGACACGTCACCGCACAGCGTTATTGGCAGACGTGTTGAGGTTTAATGTTACTCTCAACAAAGGCCAACTTCCTGGACAATAAACACCGTTTCTGAGCATACAGGCCCAAGGCCCAGAACATCAAGCGACCAGCAATGAAATGGCACTTGCAAAGCTGTAACAGATACGAGCTAACTCGAGAGCTTGGGGAAAAGAGACGATGGGTGGGAATTACAAAGTGGAGCAGTGCGAGGGAAAAATCAGAAAGATAAGTGTTGAGACTAGCAGTGTGGTGAGTGAGTGGTCGAGTGAGTGGATGAGTGAGTGAAGTTCACGGGTAGCGTAACCACAGTAGTAGCGATGGAAGAGCGATCAGGGGGCGACTGACTGTGGGTGAGCGAGCGAGTGACGAGTGAATCGGCGAGTGATGGACTACCAACAGTCTTGTCCTCCTGTGGTGAGATAATGGACTCTAAACCAATCAAATGCTACCAAATATCTTCCGCGACACCCGCGAGCTGTCCTGTCTCTCTCTCCCGTGTTAAATCGGCGTCAGCGCGTGCCGGTGCCCTGGCAGCCCCGGGGTGTCCCGGCCCCGCTTGCCTGCCACACGGGGTCGGTGTGCTTGCCGGAGCGGGCGCTGCTGCGGTGCGAGGGCTGCGCGTCCATCGGCGCCGCCAGGTTGTAGACGGCCACCGTGCCGTCGTACAGGCCGGCCGCCACGAGGTGCGGCCGCGCGCCGTGCATGTCCACGCCCATGACGCCGCTCTCCGTGGTGAACACGAACTCCGGGAAGGACGGGTTCTTGAGGGTGAACACCACGAGCGCGCCGCGGCCCTGCTTCTGGAACTCGTCTGCACCCGCAGGGGAGCGGCCACCACTGGCTTCAAGATCCTGCAGGGACTAGCTCCCCTGCCTCTCCCCTCTCATATCACTCTACACGCCTCCATGTGCTGTCCTTCCTCTCCCCTCTAGCCTCGCTCGACTCCCCTCCACACGCTGTCTCTTACCTCTCCCCTTTCATTTGACTCGACTCTCCTCCAAATATTTTCCTACCTCTCCACTCTCATCTCACTCGACTCCCTTCCAAACACTCCTACCTCTCCCCTCCAGCCTCGCTCTACTCCTCTCCACACACTCTCTCTTACCTCTCACCTTTCGTCTAACTCTACTCCCCTCAACACTGTCCCACATCTTCCTTCTCATCCCCGTGTAAGAGAATGTCCCACGGAAGCAGATATGAAAGAGCTACAGTGAGGGAAAAAGGTATTTGATCCCCTGCTGATTTTGTACGTTTGCCCACTGACAAAGAAATGATCAGTCTATAATTTTAATGATAGGTTTATTTGAACAGTGAGAGACAGAATAACAACAACAAAATCCAGAAAAACGCATGTCAAAAATGTTATAAATTGATTTGCATTTTAATGAGGGAAATAAGTATTTGACCCCCTCTCAATCAGAAAGATTTCTGGCTCCCAGGTGTCTTTTATACAGGTAACGAGCTGAGATTAGGAGCACACTCTTAAAGGGAGTGCTCCTAATCTCAGCTTGTTACCTGTATAAAAGACACCTGTTCACAGAAGCAATCAATCAATCAGATTCCAAACTCTCCACGATGGCCAAGACCAAAGAGCTCTCCAAGGATGTCAGGGACAAGATTGTAGACCTACACAAGGCTGGAATGGGCTACAAGACCATCGCCAAGCAGCTTGGTGAGAAGGTGACAACAGTTGGTGCGATTATTCGCAAATGGAAGAAACACAAAAGAACTGTCAATCTCCCTCGGCCTGGGGCTCCATGCAAGATCTCACCTCGTGGAGTTGCAATGATCATGAGAACGGTGAGGTATCAGCCCAGAACTACACGGGAGGATCTTGTCAATGATCTCAAGGCAGCTGGGACCATAGTCACCAAGAAAATAGTTGGTAACACACTACGCCGTGAAGGACTGAAATCCTGCAGCGCACGCAAGGTCCCCCTGCTCAAGAAAGCACATATACATGCCCGTCTGAAGTTTGCCAATGAACATCTGAATGATTCAGAGGACAACTGGGTGAAAGTGTTGTGGTCAGATGAGACCAAAATGGAGCTCTTTGGCATCAACTCAACTCGCCGTGTTTGGAGGAGGAGGAATGCTGCCTATGACCCCAAGAACACCATCCCCACCGTCAAACATGGAGGTGGAAACATTATGCTTTGGGGGTGTTTTTCTGCTAAGGAGACAGGACAACTTCACCGCATCAAAGGGACGGGGCCATGTACCGTCAAATCTTGGGTGAGAATCTCCTTCCCTCAGCCAGGGCATTTAAAATGGGTTGTGGATGGGTATCCCAGCATGACAATGACCCAAAACACACGGCCAAGGCAACAAAGGAGTGGCTCAAGAAGAAGCACATTAAGGTCCTGGAGTGGCCTAGCCAGTCTCCAGACCTTAATCCCATAGAAAATCTGTAGAGGGAGCTGAAGGTTCGAGTTGCCAAACGTCAGCCTCAAAACCTTAATGACTTGGAGAAGATCTGCAAAGAGGAGTGGGACAAAATCCCTCCTGAGATGTGTGCAAACCTGGTGGCCAACTACAAGAAACGTCTGACCTCCATGATTGCCAACAAGGGTTTTACCACCAAGTACTAAGTCATGTTTTGCAGAGGGGTCAAATACTTAATTCCCTCATTAAAATGCAAATCAACTTATAACATTTTTGACATGCGTTTTTCTGGATTTTGTTGTTGTTATTCTGTCTCTCACTGTTCAAATAAACCTACCATTAAAATTATAGACTGATCATTTCTTTGTCAGTGGACAAACGTACAAAATCAGCAGGGGATCAAATACTTTTTCCCCTCACTGTACCTCTGAGGTCTGTTCAAGTAGGGGGGGGGCAGCACTTCCCAGGGAAATGTTGGCCGTGTGACCACCACGCAAATACGTGTAATTTTCACAGATGGAATTTAGCCAAATTAAGTGCAGAACCGAATAGTATACGGTGTAATGTTTTGTTTGGACTGAGATTCGCTACAGCTGAGAACCCGGTGGTGTCATCACTGTGTTTGGGCGACTGAAACCCAGACCAGAGCCCAGGAGCGCTGCAGTGGCGGCTCAGCGTGCCGACCCGCAGGTTGCCCGGCCACCTCAGTGCATCGTGCAGCTCAGCCGTGGGTAGCCACGAAGTTGCAATACAACTCTCAAGTGTTTGGAATTGTGGGCTGAGCAAGGGAGCAGTCCCCGAGGCTGGTGAGCGGTGTGTGTGTGTCACCGGGGTGCCATGTGTAAGTGTGTGAGATGCCGGCGTAGCTTGTGTGTGTGTGTGTGTATCCAGTGTGTGCTCTGTGTGGGTGTGAATCGCTGGGTTTGTGCTGTGTGCGTGGGTGCGTCTGTGTCACCAAGGTGTCATGTATGTTTGTGCTGTGTGTCGTCGGGGTGTGCCGTGTGTGTGTGTCACCGTGTGTGTCTGTGTGTGCCTTGTGCTGTGTGTGTGTGTGCGCGCGAGTGTCCGAATGCACCGTTACTCACAGGAGCCGAAGCCGACTACAAAGAGGTCGTGATAACAGGGGTTCCTGCAGACCGACCACGACACACACGGATCACACGCACACGGCGCACGACGCACCACCGTGAGCGGCGGTGAGCAGCGAGCGAGTCGCGACGGCGCTACGTCGGCACGGCCGGCGATGGGGCACGGCAACAGTGGGGACAATGACGGCGATGACAGCGCCGAGATTCCGATGATGGCGACGCTGCCAGCGGCGGTGACTGTGGTTGCGATTAGGCGAGTAGCGATTCACCCCTGCACCCTAACCCACGACGATCCCATTAATCTTCACAAATCCAGGACAGCATTTTGATGTAAGAGGCGAAAATATTTTTTCGTCTCATTTACATGGTCTCTCGTTTGAACAACTTTAGTTCGATCCGTGAGCCTCGATGAAAGATCATAGGATAAATCTTGACTTAAAGTTTTCGTGACTACAGGAATTCATATTCTTTGGGTCTTTCGGTAAAGTCACGTAGATAGAAAAATAATAATAAAATGTTTTGTGATTTTTTTTATCTACGTGACTTTACCGTAGGACCCAAAGAGCATCAGAGGATAACTTGCGTATAATTTGTCTAAGTGTAAAGTAATCCATACACACACTCACACGATTTGATGATGTGTGTAATGTAAACAGAAGAATGCATATGATTGAAGAAAATCAATAGATAGCGTTGTGGCTATAGTTGTGATTCTGGAAGGAAGTGGCGATGTTATTGTCACCAGCGCCACTTTAAGAGTTTCACTATTTAAATGCATTTAACCAGAATGCAATGTAATTTACAACCCTTTGTCAATCCACTGCTGGATGACAGCCTCCCCGCACTCGTCATGGATCATGATTATTGTTTGACTATACTTCACCATGCTGGTCAGTGCGAGTGAGTGAAGGTGGGGATGGATGGCCCAGGTGGATTTACAGATATTGTTCGCCACCGCCATTATTAGCCGTGGTACGGATTCAAACTTGTAGCGTAGTGCGCTAACCACAGCGCCACCGCTCCACCCGGTGTAACGATATTGCTGTGTAGGTAGCTGCTGGTGCTGGTGCTGGTGCCACTCACCAGCACAAAGCGGTGACGGTAAGGCGCCGCGCCTGCTCGCACTGGAAGCGCCACAATGGCAGCAGCGTCCCGTCCTGCTCGCGGTACTCGTCTGAGGCATCCTCAAAGTAGCGGAAATCTACATAGACACACAAAGGAAAAGATCCCCTGCATCAGCTTTAACAGACTGTCGGGACAAGTACTGTTAGTGAGCACCTATGAATGGGTGGGTGGGCCAACACCACGCCCGGCCGCCTCGTCTCTCCAGTGCTGACATTTCCAAAATACAACACAAGATACTCATTTTAGGCTGGGTTGACCTAGGGGAGCCGCAAGACCTGTTAAAATATTCGCCGTGACTGGGAATTGAACTCGGGTTGCTGGATTCGTAGCGCGACATAGGCAACTGCGGAAGTGCCGATGAAAGCTGGCACAGTACGCGAGGGGGAGGCGTGGCCAGAACAACAAGCCTAGGCGCCTTTGCAGGAGGCACTCATTTAAGGCTGAGTTAACCTACCGGAAGCCGCCGCCACCACAAGCTCTCGCTGCAGGGCCGCGGTTAGAGGGAGATGAGCAGCAGTGGCAGCAGCTCACGGCGCTCACCTTGAGCGATGTCGTCAAAGGTGTTCTGGTTGACCATGCGCTCGATGATCTTCGCTGCCATGGCCACCTTGGTGATGTCATCGCCCTGCGGGGGGAACCACGGGGGGGTGTGACGGGTCACGGGTCGACGGACCGACGGGCCGACGGGCCGACGGGGCGGTCAGTTAATGAAACGCAGGTCGAAAGACGCAGCGGCCGGCGTGGCCGGGCCCGTGTTTTAGCGACCAGATCGTGTGGGCGCAAAGACAAACGTACATCAGAATTTATTTCCAGTCTTTTTCATCCTCTTTTCATTTAGTCCGGAAAGAACTCCAGTTGGTGTCAAGTAATGGTACTAAGAAATCTCCAATCGGAACTCTCGCATTGAACAGTGCACCACCTTGTATCAGGGAATGGCCTGGAAAGATGATGTAATAGAACTACTTTTGAAATCCCTTCAACAGGGCTCTTTATGCACACGAGGTGCACACCCTTTATATGCCCGGCAGAGAGTGTTTGTCGTGTGTCAAATATACTGACAGTGTAATTCTCAGAGCTGGAGGGCACCACACTTTAGTGTGAAGCCAAAATTTACTATCATGCTTTTTTCATGTCGTCATGGGTCACTGGGCTGAGAGCATCAATTTGCCACGTGCCACACAGAGCCAGTTTAAACAGCAGCGACTGAAACCTGGATTGCTCATACCCAGGTTCAAAGTGCTTCCAGCTCAGTGCTCTGACACGGCATCAGTCCTATGGCCCACCCAGCCACTTGGCTCACCTCGAGGCAAACAACAAAAACAATGTTTTATTTGTATAAAGCGGCATCGTTCATGCAAATTTCATCACAAAATTCTCTAATTTATTGAAAGTGCTCTGGAAGGCGGCAGACAGAACCGGCGCCGACAGAACCGGCGCCATCGATGAGCGTGGATACACTCCAACTCGGCCGTCAGCTCACAGCAGATTCCTCGGCCGTCGCTGTGCGTTCGTCAAGGTCCTTTGACGGCCACCGCTCACCTGCGTCTCTACGAGTGTGAACTTCTTTGGGGCACGGGGCCCCCCTTCGTCGCGCCGGCCGCCCCCGCCGCCCTTCTGCTGCTGCTTCTCCTTGATCTTCTCCTGCCGCTTGAGCTCCTCCACGTAGGCGTCGTACACCTCCCACTGGGCGCGTGCACACGTCCCGCGTGACCAGGGTTGCAGAGGTCAGGGTGAGGTCGAGGTCAAAGGCCAGTCAGTAGCTTCACTGACTCGCCCTAACCCCACAATTGAGCTGTGCCCTACCACCCACCCACCGATGGAATGCTTAACTGCCAATCACACAGTCCCACCTCCCACGCAGCCACTGGGGCACAGTGGTTTCGCGAATTACGACACCCAGCGGCACCATATTTACAGTGCCGCTGGTTAGGAAAGACCCATCTTTCTTCATGAGCAGTGCATCGCCAGGTTCGTGTCAGCTCTTCCACTCATTCCATTCAGACTCGCAACCTCTCACCTGATTGACCGTGGCTGAGAAGATGGCCCTGGGTGGTGGCTCAGTCTGGCTGCTCTTCTCCTGCAGATAACAGGCATTCACACAAACACACACACATCTGTGACACCGGCCACTTTGTCTGGAGTGAAACATGCGAATGGCGCCAGCAGCAATGAGCACTAGCAGCTGTCCTGGCTGGCACGGTGAAGATTTCCCCACCGCCGCTACTGCTACGTACCCGTAAAGGGTTGTTGAAGGTCTGGGAGGCGCGCTCGCTGAAGTTGAACTGGTTGGTGAGCTTCTGCTCGCTTTTGGACGCCACCTTGGTCTCCTTGGCCTCCTCCTCCTCCTCGTCGTCCTGGCTTTTGACCTGCCTCGCCCAGCATGGACGCACGCAGGATCACACGCATGCATTACACAGTGAGTCTGCAGCTCGCTGTGAGCGTAGAGTTCGCTTTGCCAGCAGTCCAGAGCTCGAGTGTGGAGGTCACCGTGAGTGTGGAGGTCACTGTGAGTGTGGAGGTCACCGTGAGTGTGGAGGTCACTGTGAGTGTGAAGGTCACCGTGAGTGTGGAGGTCTCCGTGAGTGTGAAGGTCACTGTGAGTGTGGAGGTTACCGTGAGTGTGGAGGTCTCCGTGAGTGTGGAGGTCTCCGTGAGTGTGGAAGTCTCCGTGAGTGTGAAGGTCACTGTGAGTGTGGAGGTCACTGTGAGTGTGAAGGTCACTGTGAGTGTGGAGGTCACTGTGAGTGTGGAGGTCACCGTGAGTGTGAAGGTCGCCGTGAGTGTGGAGGTCACCGTGAGTGTGAAGGTCACCGTGAGTGTGAAGGTCACCGTGAGTGTGGAGGTCTCCGTGAGTGTGGAGGTCTCCGTGAGTGTGAAGGTCACCGTGAGTGTGGAGGTCACCGTGAGTGTGGAGGTCTCCGTGAGTGTGGAGGTCTCCGTGAGTGTGAAGGTCACCGTGAGTGTGGAGGTCTCTGTGAGTGTGAAGGTCACCGTGAGTGTGAAGGTCACCGTGAGTGTGAAGGTCACCGTGAGTGTGAAGGTCACCGTGAGTGTGGAAGTCTCCGTGAGTGTGAAGGTCACCGTGAGTGTGGAGGTCTCCGTGAGTGTGAAGGTCACCGTGAGTGTGAAGGTCACCGTGAGTGTGGAAGTCTCCGTGAGTGTGAAGGTCACCGTGAGTGTGAAGGTCACCGTGAGTGTGAAGGTCACCGTGAGTGTGAAGGTCACCGTGAGTGTGGAAGTCTCCGTGAGTGTGAAGGTCTCCGTGAGTGTGGAGGTCTCCGTGAGTGTGGAGGTCTCCGTGAGTGTGAAGGTCACTGTGAGTGTGGAGGTCACCGTGAGTGTGGAGGTCTCCGTGAGTGTGGAGGTCTCCGTGAGTGTGGAGGTCTCCGTGAGTGTGAAGGTCACCGTGAGTGTGGAGGTCACTGTGAGTGTGGAGGTCTCCGTGAGTGTGGAGGTCACCGTGAGTGTGGAGGTCACTGTGAGTGTGGAGGTCACCGTGAGTGTGAAGGTCACTGTGAGTGTGGAGGTCGCCATGAGTGTGGAGGTCTCCGTGAGTGTGGAGGTCACTGTGAGTGTGAAGGTCACCGTGAGTGTGAAGGTCACTGTGAGTGTGGAGGTCACCGTGAGTGTGGAGGTCACTGTGAGTGTGGAGGTCTCCGTGAGTGTGGAGGTCACCGTGAGTGTGGAGGTCACTGTGAGTGTGGAGGTCACCGTGAGTGTGAAGGTCACTGTGAGTGTGGAGGTCGCCATGAGTGTGGAGGTCTCCGTGAGTGTGGAGGTCACTGTGAGTGTGAAGGTCACCGTGAGTGTGAAGGTCACTGTGAGTGTGGAGGTCACCGTGAGTGTGGAGGTCGCCTTGAGTGTGGAGGTCACCGTGAGTGTGGAGGTCTCCGTGAGTGTGGAGGTCACTGTGAGTGTGAAGGTCACCGTGAGTGTGGAGGTCTCCGTGAGTGTGGAGGTCACCGTGAGTGTGAAGGTCACTGTGAGTGTGAAGGTCACCGTGAGTGTGGAGGTCTCCGTGAGTGTGAAGGTCGCCGTGAGTGTGGAGGTCACCGTGAGTGTGAAGGTCACCGTGAGTGTGGAGGTCTCCGTGAGTGTGGAGGTCACCGTGAGTGTGAAGGTCACTGTGAGTGTGAAGGTCACCGTGAGTGTGGAGGTCTCCGTGAGTGTGAAGGTCGCCGTGAGTGTGGAGGTCACCGTGAGTGTGAAGGTCACCGTGAGTGTGGAGGTCTCCGTGAGTGTGGAGGTCACCGTGAGTGTGAAGGTCACTGTGAGTGTGAAGGTCACCGTGAGTGTGGAGGTCTCCGTGAGTGTGAAGGTCGCCGTGAGTGTGGAGGTCACCGTGAGTGTGAAGGTCACTGTGTGTGTGGAGGTCACCATGAGTGTGGAGCGACTGTCTTCAATTCTTGAAGACGGTCGCTTCAATTCTTGAAGATGGTCGCTTGTGTTGCGATCGAAGCGTCGTGGGTTTTTTGTTTATTTTTATTCATTTTGAACCCATCCACGTGACTTCACCGAAAGACCCAAAAAATATTAATTCCTGCAGTCACGAAAGCTTTAAGTCAAGATGTATATAGGGGAGTCTTTGTGCGTTCTCACCTCTCCTCCCTCGCCCCTGTTGGGGGACAGTGTCTCCCCTCCATCCGTTAGCCTCTCCCCAACCTCCACCTCGCTCACCGGCGGTGCACCTGGTGGGGCATGGTGTGCATGCCGGTGAAGTAAGGCAAACGACACGGGGGGCACAGCACCAGACCATTGTTTGGTGCTTACATTACACGAGTCGGGGTGGGGGGGGGGGCGCTAACCGACTCAGAATGGGTGGGGGGGGGGGCATTGCCGGGTGGAGGGAGCATGGGAATGGGACTAACAACGAAGTAGATTAACCGAGTTCCACTTTATGTATAAAGCCAACAGCTACATTTGAGGAATGGGAAGTAGCCCCCCTGTCGCCCCCCCCCCCCACCTACCCCCCGGGCCCCCATGCTGCATCACCATTGAGGCAGCCGCTACCTCTGAGCTGCTGCCGGCGCGCCTCGTCTGATTCGCGGTGCAGCAGGTTCCCGTCTACTGCAAAGTGCACGGCCAGCTGATCCAAGGTTCCCACGGGTTTGTAGACTCGCTCCTGTGTGGGTGGGTGATTGGGTGGGTGGTGGCCACGGGGAACAACGGCACATCCGATTAGCACGGTTGCTACGTACGGTGCAAAAGAAGATCAACATACATACATGGCGCGGGCATGCGGCTGTTTACACATGCCCAAGCGAGGTTCTAGAATCTCATTGCCGTATCGACCGTTGCCTGGCCAGCTCGCAACCCTCAACCTATGTCCTTTGTAGTCCTTGCCTCACCGTGCTGTGTACGTGCTGCACATGACTGTTGACGAGTGTTCTGCCTCCAAACAAATCACCTGGAATGGTAGAGCCTGGATAGAGCTTGGATGGACGACCACCAGGTTGTCATAGGCGTCTGTGAGGCTGTGCTATACTCCATAATAAAGGTTTTTGGGTTATCCTGATGGGGTTCAACAATGATGACGTCGTCCTGCTCTATTTAAGACCGGAAGCAGGTGGATGGCTTCACTGTTCTGGCAAATCGCCCGAAGATGCTGGATGTGATTTTCAGCGAAACGTCGTACTACTCAAATAGTAAATGTTATGAATCCACTCTTCAACACACCGGTGGGCTAAAGCAGTGAACTATTTGTCTTTTGTCAACGTGACACATTTTTTACTGATTGGCCGTGTCGGGTGGTGGAGGATTGCGACACATTTATAAGTAACGCGATCTCACCCAAACACCTTTATTATTAATAATACTGGTCGCGAAAGCCTACGTGTTAAACTGTCGTGAGAATGATTTTATTATGTTTTATTTGTATTATTTTATTACTTCCCTTCTACGTGACTTTACCGAAAGAACCAAGAAGACTGTGCTATACTGTGAGCAGCAGGCGACAGTGGCAGCTACATGTATTGTTGGACTGCACCGCTATTCTCCCCGCATTCACCAACCCACACTCGCCAGCAATAAGGACGGTTAAATAAAACACCCGCATAGCGGGGAGAGACCTTCATCCAGCAGTGGCTTGGCAAAAGGGCCATACATGAACCTACATGTATAACTATGGTGATGTATACATTTTGACTGTGATTTGTGGAATTGCCCCACTGAGGGATACAGGTGCAGGAAGCCCCTGTTTCGAGTGACCCTGTGCTTACCATGTAGGAGGGAACGCGGCAGTCCCTGTGTGCACACCACCGTGCACCCAACCAGCACGTGCCGCGCTCACCTTAAAGCTGTAGCGCACGATGTTCTGCGGGGCGTGGGGGTTATTCGCCGTCAGGATTCGCGTGAACTCCTCCTTGAGCTCCTGCGGACGGCACCAGTAGCAGCACAAGCACGGTGGAGTGGTGTTAGATTGCGTGTAAGTGTGTATGGGGGAGCGGTCGTGTAATGACTTCGGACTCGAACTGTAGAGGGTTCTTTTATTTAACTTCTAACGCGGCTTAGGACCCCGGCGTCACGAATATAGCGGCGACGGCGACGAGAGAGCAGCGACGACGAGAACCTCATTCCTCGCCCCCCTTTTATCCTCGGCGTGAACCTCACCCCGCCCTTGGTCCCGCCTTTCCTTCTCGAACTCTCTGGCAAGTTCCCGAACCTTTCTGGAACTTGCAACCCTTAGTTGACGCACTGTCTTTACAGTAGTGTAGCGGTTAGCGCGTTGCGCTACGAACCTGGTGACCCGGGTTCGATTCTCGCTCACGTTCAACATCAGTGACGATTATCTGAACCGGTCCTGGGCCTCGACTAGGTCGACTCAGCCTCAAAAGAGTACCTGGTGTGGTGTCAACATTGCCACTGGGGAGACAAAGGTGGTCGGGCATGGTGTTGGCCACCCACCCCCTCGTGTGCCATGCCGGCCTTCATGGGTTTGCTAACAGCACTTGCCCCTACAGTCTGGTAAGGCTTTATGGAGGATCTTTGTGTGTGTGAGCCATCCTCACGGACTCTCCGGGAAGGGCGCATTACGTCCGCGGTTCAATAGCCACACATCTGTGAGCGTGCACAGGGATACGGACGCATAATCGTATGCTCTTCTTGCCGAGCCAGGTGACAGCCGCTTCATCAGCAGTGTGTAGGGAGCGCCCCGAGACCACCTGAAATCCACCTGAGTCCACATGAAACCACTTGAGTGCCCCATTGAGTCGAGTCGACAACGTGTGATAACACGGCCTGCCGCTGACTACATGCGCAAAGTGGGTTGCGATCACGCTGGCCCCAGGTGTCGAGGTTGGTTGGCTCCACATGGACCTTGCCCTAAACAGAACCTGTTCAGTAGGGTTCACCAAAGATGATTCCCCAGAGACGCTGAATGGTGATGTCACACGACATGCAAGGCATGATGATGGGAGGACTGATCTTATGTTCACAGTCACACTTGATGTTGTACGGTAATCACCTACCAACCCTTGAGGACCTGCACACTTTGAGGACCCTGAAGCGAGCGAGGAAGATTGCGGACGATTCCTCGCACCCTGGATACTCTCTGTTCCAGCTACTCCCCTCCGGCAGAAGGCTGCGGTCCATCAAGACCAAAACCTCACGTCATAAAAACAGTTTTTTTTCCCATCCGCTGTTGGCCTCCTCAACAAGGCCAAGGGCTTAAAATGACTTTTACACTTAAAATGACTGTTACACTTACTATAACATTTTATCTACATAATTACACCTTTCCATACTTACAACGTGTAATCTTATTTGTATTTTTGTATTTTAAGATTGTTTAATACGGCTAATTAACATTTTACATTCGCATTTTATAAGGTCTACTTATTCATAATTTTAAAGATTTTAGCCCTTTGGTATTACTTATACTTTGTAACGTTAGTATAGTTAGAGTGTATACCTTTTATATAAGTTAAGATTCCTACTTGTTCAATGTATGCACCGTCCCGCCATAGTGAATTCCTTGTTTGTGCAAACTTACATGGCGATTAAAACCGTTTCTGATTCTGATTCAGAGAGTATCACCTGTATTTGTTTCCACCCGGAGAGTACTTTCTGTCTGGTGAGTTTCTCATCTTTTGCCGAGAGGGCTAACATTGGTTTAACGTCATTGTTTATTTTCTGCACAATTTGGAAGATTGCTCCTTCTCCTGTGCTGCTCCAAAGCACCTGGTATAGTTGTTCTATTGCTGTTCAGTAATGATTATAAACATAGTTAATTACATTACGAATATTGTTTTTTTGCTCGGGAAGGCTCACTGAGTCGTCTCAACAATCTCCTTCCATGGATTATCTGTTTGTTATCCGCACGCTGGAATCCTTAAACATCCCAATCAGTTGCCAATGGGAAAAAATAATCCTGAGACTCAATGGGGCTTTGCTGAACGATGAAAGAATATCACATGCTGTATAATATTATATTGGTAACTGTTAATATAACGTTGCTAAAATTGGTCCTTCTTCATTCAGGAAAGCACCAGTGAGTAAAAAAATTGTTTATTGAAACAAAAACGTGGGCTCGGTAAAACACCAGTGAGTTTTCAAAAGAAAAACATGCCATTAATTTCTCTTTGGGATATTTAAACAGTTCCATCTTGGATGTTTTTTGCATGAGGGGGTAAAACTCTGCAAGTACGAGGAAATATAGCTTACAAATCTGCATGGTCAAGTGAGAAATCTATTTCCTTATCCCTGCTCACACACGGCCATGGGGTTTAGCCCAGGCACGTGTTTGTGTGTGGGTGTAAGAGCGGCAGGGTTCTCTGGCGTGAGCTTGCCGGCTGGCTCAGGGCTAATGCCAGAGACACGAAGCTGCTCACATCCTGCGTTTTGAGCCTTGTTTCAGCCATCCGTGATTAAACTGGGTTCTCAAGTGTAGCGAGTTGATGGTTTCAGCCTGGCCATCAATGACTGTACATAGAGACCCATAGACTCACATAGAAACCCAGTTTCACAAGTATAGTGAGTTGATGGTTGCAACCCGGACACAAACGCCTGCGCAGAAAGAAAAACTAAATATTCCACAATGCTGAATTTGGTTTGTGACTCAATCTGTCATGTTCCAGCTCCGAGTATTACAATTTTCAGTTTGATTGGAATGCGACAGTCACTCTTGGCAGGGTATGTTAATGGGTGCCATAGTGGTGGTGCGTGCGGTTCGCAATCGGAATGTTGTAAGTTCAAATCATGGTTGGGGGTTGACTCAGCCCAGCATACCTCTGTTGTCGATAAACTGTATGTATGTTGAACTTATTTTGCACCATACATAGCCAACTGCGCTAATCGGAGGTGCGATTAAATGGTTGTCCTATGGAGAGACTTGTTCCGAATAGGAATGTGGCGTATCCACCACTGGCTCATGGCTGTAAATGGGAAATGAGCACAAATTCGTCATTTGAGCCGGAACTCACTCTGACTTCCCAGTCTTCTTCCTCTTGCATTCACTACTTCCCAGAGTGTGGCGGCTTAAGAGGCCTCTTGAAAAGTGACTTCAGATGTAGTTTTGCGACGGCATCTTCTGCGGTCTTTCTCTGACACAATGTGGAGCCGCGACCGACAGCCGTGACAGCTCCAAATGGAGACCTCTTGGTCTCGTGACACGACAGCGATAGAATAAATGCAACGCAAGGGTGAGAGGGTAATCACAAGCGTGTCTGCTGCTCTGACTCACGCCGTGTGAACGCAGCCAGTGAGCAAGTGCGGTGGGTGGCTCTGGCACACACCTGTACACCCCCCCCCCACCTTCCCCATACAGGTTCACCTGCACGTGATGCCGCCATCTCACCTGGACTCAGCAGCCCAACATCAAGCGGGCTACAAAGTGCAAGTGCGTGGGAGTGTTTTTAATTCACACACAGCCAGTGCTGATTTTTTTTTTAGCACAGTATACAGCTGGATATAAGAACACCCCTTATGGGGTAAGGCTATGAGTTCTTATATCCAAAGTGGTGTGCCTGTATCAGAATTTGCCTCTTGTCTTCCCCCCAACAATGTCATGTGAGGGTGTGTCGCTTATTTCCACTGAGAAGCGCTGTTTTCCTTTAAACGTTATATTTTTCTTTAATTGCATGATGCTTGTCCTTGCGGCATCATGTCATTATATGAATTGGCCATTCAGTGCACAACCCCCCATATAACTGAATGACCTCTGGAAGAAGATATCACAGAACCACCTCTGAGATGCTTTTTCAATTCGTCTCTGGGAGTCAAGCAAGGGGCAGCACTGTCCCACCCACCCTGCCATTATGCATCATATTTATACCATGACAGACAAATAAATATATATTTATACAGCCAAATTAAAAGCAGAACCAAATTTAAGGTGATGCTATATTTTTCAGTATACCCAGTTGATTAAACCATCAACTCGCAGTAAAAACCGTTTTGAGTTCGAGATACTGTACATTTTATATTTCAATCACATCACCTACACTTCTCAAACCAACAGCTATGTGAAGATGGCCAATTAGGGATTCTTGCACAACCATCTATACATTATATTCAAAGTTTGATGACATAAAATATATAATTGGCCAGCTTCCTGTAAGCTGGTTTGAAATGAGTTATAAAGCTCTTTTTCACACATGTCCAATCATGTTACAGATGCGTTTTGTGTGTAGTTTGGTTTTCCTTCCCCCGCACCTCCGATTAGCATGGTTGGCGACGTTTGGTGCAAAAGAAGTTCAATATTCATACTTGATGTGTAGATAATACAGTTACGAATATAAAATGAATCTCAAACTTCCAATCAATTCTACCACCGTCAACTCGCTACACTTGAGAACCCGGTATCACCAGCAACAGCTGCCTGGATTCAAACCCAACTTAATCTCAGCAGCAGTGCCGTCCCTATGGTACGATGAATCGGGGTGACTGCCCCGGGCGCCGAGCTTTGGTGGGATGTCAGATGTAATACTCCCAGTTTAGTTTGAAGGCATCGGGGGCACACACAATGGCGTTTGCCCCGGACCCCGCACCCTGCTATGGACGTCCCTGCTCAGCAGTGCCATCTCAATGCCCTGACATCTGTGCTGTTTTTAACTCAAGTAATCATTGGTGCTTTACGTATTGTATGCGATATATAGATGTCAAATCGTCTGGAATGCATGTCAGATTGATGCAATAGCAGTACAGGATTCCTGAGTGCTGCTGTTAGTGGTGGTGGTTCAGCCGCGGAGCGAGCAGCTCCAAATATAATGGTTGTGAATTTTATCAAAAACCTGGCTGGTGGTTGATTGACTTGTCCCATCATCCCTCTGGGGTCGATACAATAAGTACCACTTTGTGGGGATGTGAACAGCGCTTGTCCTATGGATATACTCGCCCCCACCATAGCAATGCAGAATGTCCACCACTGGCTCATCATGTCTGTGAGCAGGAGATGAGCACATACTAAATTGCCCCTCTTTATGCCTGAAATAACATGGAGTGCAAGGAGATGTTAGATTGAGTGCATGGCGCTCACAGCATCCGTGAGCTCCAGCTGGTCTTCAGGCTTCACGAGGGTCCGTGGCTGCACCCAGTCATCTCCATCCCCCATCTCTGTGCCTTCTTCCTCTTCCTGGAGGGTCAGCGTTCAAGGATTAGTGATTCAATTCTTACAATAAATGTTGTTCTGAACGCTGGAAGCAGTAACTATTAACATGTCCCAGTTTTCCCAAGGCACCAAAGTGTCATGTTTTATCTCCAGTAAAATTTGAGTCAAGGCCATTGCCTGAAACGTCGGCCTACTAGATATCTGTATTTTAGAGTGTAAGGCTGTGTAAATGAATGATCATTGTTGTTGAGTGTTGTTGTTTTTATAGGTGTCTGTACTGTACCTTGGATTTCTTGGATTTTCCCTGCTTGCTCGGGGCCTTGACTACAGGGCCCCCCTATCGTCAAGAAAAGACACAGGGACAGCACGAGACGCGGTGGTAGACAGGGGGATAAAGGGGACATGGGGGCAGCACGACACGGGCAGGACATGGGGTGGGCACGGTGGGATACGGGGTCACGGGAAGGAGAGGGGACAGAGTTGGATATGGGATATGGTGGGACACGGAGTGGACACGGGGAGACACAAGGTGGACATGTGGAGACACGGTGTGGACACAGTGGGACACCGGGTAGACACGGGGAGACATGGGGTTGACACGGGGTGGACATGGGGAGACACGGAGTGGACACGAGGAGACACGAGGTGGACATGTGGAGACACGGTGTGGACACAGTGGGACACCGGGTGGACACGGCGAGACATGGGGGTGACACGGTGGGACACGGGGTGGACACGGGTGGACACGGGGTGGACATGGGGAGACACGGGGTGGACATGTGGAGACACGGGGTGGACATGTGGAGACACGGGGTGGACACGGGGAGACATGGGGTTGACACGGGGTTGACAAGGTGGGGCACGGGGTGGACACGGGTGGACATGGGGTGGACATGTGGAGACAAGGGGTGGACATGGGGAGACACGGGGTAGACACGGGGTGGACATGTGGAGACACGGGGTGGACATGGGGAGACATGGGGTGGGCATGGGAAGACACGGTGGGACACGGGGTGGACACGGGGAGACACGGGGAGACACGGCAGAATGGTCAAATCGTCATTCCATCACGAGGTCGCACCATACCACCCTGTCGTCACCAATAGCGAGTTTAAAGTGGCTCGCGCAATGTGCTTAATCACGGTGACGCGGGGTTTCTTTTCACTTTATTCCGATATTTAGCCCCATAGCTCAATCGATCCGGACCAAACTGCCGCGGGGCAACACCGCCCCCCCACCCCGTGTATAGACAATAACGATCTGTCGACGCGATGCAGATGTAGGCAATACACAATACAAATCAATGACTAATTAACCGGCGAATTTAGCAGCTATTACGAATCATGACCAAAGACTTGTCCCGCAGTGACGCATGGAGGCCGCCCGGCGGGACCCCAGCGAGCCAGGCTGGAACAGCTACTGCCCCCCCCTCCTCCCCCGTTACCTGCTTGACTTTCTGTTGCGCCTTGGTGGGCATATCGTGGCGAGCGGCGTGTGTGTAAGATTGATTGTTAAGAGATGAATACGAAAGTTAAACAACAACAGCAACAACAAGAGCGGCGTGGTGCTGCTGGTGGTTGTCAGGGAAGCCTGTGCAGGGCCTCGGGGCGTCCCCACGCGGCCGTCTCCTAGCAACCCGGGGGGGGGGGGGGTGGGGGCCACTTGGTACCACGTGGCCGGGAACGAAAGTTGATAATCACTTTACAACTTTTACCCTTTAATGTTGTTGCTTTTGTGACGCTATTGAAGATCCGGCGTAGATCGAAGCAGTTTTCAGAGCGGCTAAAGTGCGATGTCTGAACGCTTGTTAAGCTCTTCTACAATCCGCACCGCACTAGCGCGGTGAAGTATGGTCAAACAAACCCCTGTGGGGGCCCTTATAAATAGCCCCCCTAATGTCCTATTATAATGTCCTATTATAATGTCCTATTATAATGCATAGCTGTATACATCTTCATTCGCATGGCTGATGGTAGACGCAGAGCAACAACTAGAATTTCGCGTTCACGTCGGTCAAGCCAGACGACCAGCGTCTCGAGCAGCGCACTGGGTCGCTGTGATGTCTCCTCACTTCACGTATAAATGACTACACGCTAAGCAATTATAATAATATACAGTAATACATTAGGGGGGGGGGGGTGCCGACCGCGGTGTTTGAATCCGCGACCTCATTGAGGCAATAAAACCGGCAGGGCAGCAGCAGCAGCGGGTCTCTACCAACCCTCTCCTTCCCTTCCGAGACGTCGTCAAGTTTTTAGGGTGGGCGGGTGCCCCGTTCACCTCTGAATGTCGGAACTCGTAAACTACTCGGCGTCAATTGCGTGCATAGTGCCGTAGAGCCGTTGTTTAGAAAGACGATGTACTCACCGCGGAGAACTGTAGCGACACGACCGCACTCTATGACATCTGGCACCAGACTGGCGCACGCCCTCCACGCGTCGCCTTGTGGGGGGGGGGGGGAGCCTCGGTACCGGTACTTTCTTTTTATTTTATTCCTGTTTCGTTTTGACCATGGGTGGAAAAAACCCGATTTTTCCAGCGGCAGGCATCGGGTTTTTTCTTTAATACAATTAAACCCGATTTCGGGGAATTAAAACCCGGTTTTAAGTTCAAGTTCATTTATTAGGTATAGCCCTGTGAGCCATTCGGCTCTTGAATCGGGTGCAACCGCAACAAACAAAAAAACAAAAACATGAACAAGAAAACATCTTAAAGTGACTATGTGACTAAGTGCAAACAGAAAATCCAAGAAAAGACAGCAAAATATTGCAGAAAAAGCACCGAACACCAACGCTGTGTGCAAAAATCCTAGTGGGATGCAAGTCAAACAACAACAACAACCACAAGACAACTTAAATTAAGGCCATCAGTCTTACTCCGTACTACAACAAACAAACAAACATGGCCAAACCAGTAAACTTTTCGAAATCACCAATATAAAGCCATGAAACAGTGATCATAGGAACTGTGACGGAATTGTCACAATAAACGATATAAACAACATGTACTACCAAACCCTGCAGCCACAGCTGGCGGCATGAGTCACTCCACAACAGCAGCAGGAGCATCAATCAGAGTATTATAATTTTTCAATGCACCTTTAAGATCAGCACACTAAATCAAAACACAGGTCATACTTTGCAGCGATCATCCGGAGCGAAACATTTTATTTAATGAACACGAAACTCTGATCCAAGGCTTAGGCTGCTTCCTCGTCGGTGCTGCTATCGTCGTACTCGGGGGGGCGTCGGGCACACGGGGTAGTCGTAGACTGCGGCGGGCAGGCTGGTCGTGATGAACACGAGGAGGAGCTTCTCCTGCACAATCGTGGGCACCGCCAGTGAGTTCCTTCGCTTGGAATGGATGAAGCCCATCGCTGAGAAGTGCGGTTCTGCAATTAGAACCAATTAAACCGGATTTCTCCCAATCTCAGATGATCGGGTTTAATATAAAAGACAATTAAACCCGATTGTAAAAAACCCGACTGTGCCACCCTCGGTTTTGACGCTTGTACAGGAACGTCATCGGAACGGAAAAGGAAGAAAAGCTGACGACGTACACGCGCGAGTTCGTCGTCGGAATGGGTGGGGGGTTAACAGGCAGCGAGGGGTGGAAGGGAGTGGCGGAGGAAGCCCTCGGGACCTCTACTCAGCGGCGACACGAGACCTCGGACTGACACACAGACGTGCACACGTGGCACTTCAATGCGTGTGGAGGGTGGCGTGGCTCATAATGCCATCGCGATTACCAACTCGAGGCGCGGCGCGTGGGTGTTGCGTGCGTACTGTTTCTTCTGTTCGGACTCGGGTGTTTTATTAGACGCGAGAATGCCGATTAAAGTTTGGGTTTATTATAATCGCAACTACACGTCTGTTGGTGAGACCGCGTTGGCGGTTTTGCACGAGCATTTATAATATCGCAATTCAAAATATTCGTCAACAACACTGCCCACGGAGGTGGAACATCATGGAACGTTGGGTCAACGTGGGCCCAACGTTGGGACGTTCCAGCCACTTGAAACGTTGAGTTTGGCCCAACCTTAGCAATCGTACTGCGTAACAGAGAGGTGGCCCCCTGTCGTATCTGTCCTGTTGAAGGTCCACTTCGCGAAACGTCGCCTTAGTCCACACAATCGGCGTCATTGTCGAATGTATTTATTATGGCTGCATTTAACAACGCGTGTTTAACGATGGTGCAATCAGTTAAATTGCAGTGATTTGTAAGCGATACTGCGTAGATTGCTCAACAGCGCTGAGCATTTCAAACCGCGGTCTTCTTTGGGCCATGCCTACCATCTTCGTGTAGTATTACTACTACGCGTCATTATTAGCCAGCAATTATAATTACAATCACAAAGTTTATGATTAATTATCGTAAACGACGCGAGATTTGGGCTCGTGCGCTCAGCCAGCCACGGACGTTGGGGGGGGAGGGGCTGGAGCTCCCATGCCGCTAGATTTCCCAGTCCGGATGCGCGCCGGCGCTCGCTTCCCATTGGTCACCCGGTGCCGTGGCCGTCGCTCTAATTGGCCACAGCCGCTCGCCCCCTCCGATCCAATCAGAGAGCGCCGGGAGGGCGGGAGGGGGCGGGGGGGTGCGAGGGGCTTGCGCGTGCGCACTGGGAAATGTAACCGCAGCGCGCGCACGTCACGGCCCCTCCCGGAAGTGTGGGCCATGGAGGAGCAGGGTCGGCAAGGGGACCCCGCGACCCTCCCGGTAAGGGGGCCTCGAGGGGGACCGAGAGGGGGACCGAGAGGGGGTAGGGGGCGACGCCGAGGAGGAGGAGGACACGCAGGAGGAACGTGGGGTTTCGGAGGAAACGCAGGGACTCCGTTGAGGGGACCCGCTGGGACACGGGGGGCAGTGCGGGGGTGGGACCCAGAGGGATCCATCTGACGCAGGAAGACGATCGGACACTCTGTGTGAGGGGATCCGGCCCGCGATTCCCGCTGAGGGGACCTAGAGGGGACGGGGAGGCCTGTGAGGGTGTCCAGAGGGGATAGAGGGATCGAGAGGGACCTGCGGCCGTCTGGAACGCTCTTCCTTCCGATATGAGGAAGCCGCTGGAGCGATCCACTTTTAAATAATCTCGATTGAGATCTCATTTCTTTCGAACTGCTTTTTGTGTTTAGTTTGTTGTCTTTCCCCCGAACCCCCATTTAGCAGGGTTGGCTACGTACGGTTCGAAAGAAGTTCAACATACACGCATAGGGAGCGGCAATCTTGGGTCCCGAGAGGTGGTGGCAGACCCCAGGACTGCTCGGGGATTGGGGAGTGAACCGGGAAAGCAGAGGGACGGCGAACTCCGGGACACCGCGGGGAGATGGGGAAGTTGGGCGAGGGGGATCTTGTTGTGGGACGTGGAGGGGGGGGGCGAGCTTGCCAGCTTGGTCCCTTTCTCACGGCTGTGGTGGTGGCGATTGTAAGAGGTTGATTACAGTGAGGACATTCAGGACGATGATGGTGGTGGTGGTGATGAATTCGGCTCTAAATGATTCAGGCATCGGTAACGAGAGACCTCCTCACACTCGCTGGAATCTGGTTATACCGGCGTCACTTTCTCATTTGCGCATTTTCACGTTCAATGTATGATACACTGCAATGTCTTGTGGGTAATTATAAACGGACACGGGTCTGTCTCGGCGTAAAATAGAATGTAACGTTTATGTTAGTCGGTGGTGAAGTATGGTCAAATAACCCCCACGACCCGCACGGTGTGAGGGAAGCCCTCAAGCAGCAGTGGAGTGAAACAATAAGGGCCGTAGTACACGTGCGTGGGGAGTCTATTAGCGTGAAGCGCCGGCGTTTGTCGAAAATACTGTGGACCGGTTCCACCTTTCTCGGTTTCATTTTATCCCGTGGCCTCGTCAAACAAATGACCCCAGGCTGCCTGACATGTCCCACCCTGCCGCTGCAGAAAGCAGAGGACACGGAGAGGAGGAGCAAGGAGAAGTTGGGCCTCTCCGTCAACTACCGCCCCTCGCCACTACAAATCAAAATCCGTGAGTGCCCCCCCCCCCCCTCATCAGCGCCTGGATGCCGAGCGGATCCACCGAGTTGCACGGAGGGGGCTGTGGCTGAGACGCTGAGCCAGCATCGCGAGAGATCCTATGTCGGCGTAGTTTTTTATTACCATTTTGGTGACCCAGGTCACTTGCAAATGAGAGTCGTACTGGTCTCTGGGGTTCTTTGCTACTATTTTAAGTTACTCCTTCAACAACAATATGATACCAGCAGCATGACATTTTGTATTTGAAATTAACTTATAAGCAGAAATAGTGTGGAGCGGTGGTGCAGCGGTTCGCGCATTGTGCTACGATCTCGGCCACCTGAGTTCGATTCCCAGCCACCGTGACCCACCATCCCTGGCCGCTTCACCGACTCACATGGTACAGCTCTGTGAGATACGATGAAACAAAACCCCCATTCCCAACGTCAAATGATCAGGTGACAAGGATAGCCACCGTGGCTGTGTGTTTATATAAATGTGGGGGGCGGGGAGGGGGATACTTGGAGCCAAGTGAGAGCAGGGGTTGCGCAACCCTTCAGTGGCCATGGCCTCACTAGCAGCTCACCCCCACGTGGCATGAGGGTGGGTGGCAGGTGGCTGAGCCTTTTTTATGTTGGCAATGATTAAACGTTGGTTAATAATTGACGGGAAAAGCTGCACAAGTATCAATGGACACAGTTATGAGATGCCACTGTGTAGCTACGTGTCCACACTTTCTGGAGGTGTCTTGTTTGGGATGTTGTATTCGGCTTTTGAAAAAAGTGACACGATCAGGGAAGTTGCTTTGTTTCGGTGTTTTAGGATTTTATGTTGGATTAAATGGTGCAGGGACCCCGACACCCAGTGACCTGCATCTTCAATGACATAGTGGTCTCTCACAAATCGTCTCCACATAAAAATTCTTACACAAGCCACCAGCCGCACCGCCTTTTGGGAGTGCATAATTTCAGCAGCACTCTTTCAATCCAGGCAAAATCCTGGACCAGTATCGACATAGTGTCTGATCAGCACTATACTCTACAACTACTATTTTAATTTTACCAGATAAGGCCCACTGAGCTATTTAGCTATTTTTGAGAAGTGACCTGGCCACAAGTGAAAACTCAACGAAGCGGCTTATTACGTGGAAAGGTATTGCAGCCAAATACTCGAAATGCATGTTTCTCAATGTGGAGGCAAAACCGGAGAAAATGCACGCAACCATAAAGAAAACATGCAGCCTCCACATATACAGGCGTCACACGGTCAGGATCGAACTCACGACCTCCTGTATAACAGGAGAGGTATTTAAAATCTCCTCGCCACCACGGCACCCCGGTGGCTTATACCAATGCTGGTGAATTACCAATCTTTCGGGCAAGGGCATCTGTAATGAGGTCTTCATCATTCTGTCTTGGCATATGATGATTTATTTCCCCTCTTATTTCATTAATTGCCATGATTCAGACTTGCGCTGTTTGATTCGAGACTCGGGGTGGCCGCACAGAAGGCATGTGATTGCAGGAGGCTTGAGCTGATTTGGATGTACAGATGTGGGGTGAATGATTGCATCCCTAAATCTCACAAAGCAAACAGTAGCTACTCCATGTCACAGTGGCCAGGGGGAATACCAGCTGGTCAGCATTTGTCCTGCACGTTTGCACATCTAACTGCTGCATCAAGGACGTTTATAATCTTGAATCCATTGTGCGTGGGCATTGATTGTGGCTTTAATTTATTGGTAGACCCGGGGATGGGTGAGACCCTTTGTCTTTCAGTGTTATTTATTTACCCAGGAAACCCTCTCTGGACCTAAAGCTGCCTCTTTTCAGTAGTGTCCTACATTTTTCTAAAATTTGGAAATGTATAAATCACTTGGGAGGCGACAAGAGGACTCCCAACTTGTGCACGTCTGGGTCCGTGGACCCCTTGCTGTTGGAGAAACTGTTGGCCAAGTTGCACAAGCTTGCGTTTGACTTGTTTGTGCAAATTGCCACGTGTAACACTGGTGGGTGCCTGGGAGAGAGCGGTGGCTCATTTGCATGCACAGCAGAAGTGCGGGTTTTGATGGGCGTGTCCGTGTGCATGTGCGTGCATGTGTTTGCGTGTTAGTGTGTACGCGTGTCAGTATCTGGACACGTGTGCATGTGTGCGTGCATGCGCAGGTGTGTGTCATTGTGAGCACACGTGTGTACGCGTGTGACAGTGCGTGTGTGTGCGCAGAGCGATGGTGGAATGGCTAGACCAGGGGTCGGCAACCTACGGCTCCGGAGCCGCATGCGGCTCTTTACGGGCTGCTTCTTGACGATATGTACGTATGTACATAGATGCATTGCGGCTCTTGAAATACTGAATTTTGTACCGAATTGGAAAGAAATGGCTCTTCTTGTTATTTTGGTTGCCGACCCCTGGGCTAGACCGTCACACTAACCACATCGGCGACGATTACCTGAACTGGTCCTGGAGCCTCCCTTAGGACGGCTCAGCCTTTAATGAATACCTTGTGCAGTGTTTAAACATCAGCAGTCGGGAGACAAAGATGCCCGGATGTGCTTCTGGCCACTTCCATCCCCTCGTGTGCCATCTTTGTCTTCGCAGAGCGTCAGAGGGAGGGAGTCCGGAGGACCGAAGGACGCAACGGCACCGCCGGGAAGACGCCCGTGCGCCGCTCGCCAAACAGCCGCTCCGTCTTGTCCCGCGCACGGTGAGTACCACAACCACTACCACCACCACCGCCTTTACCATCACCACTACCACCACCACACTACAACCACCACACTGCACCAGCACCACCACCATACTGCATCACCACCACATAAATGCACCAACACATCAGCACTGCACCACCATCGCCGTTCTGCACCACCACACTGGACCACCACCACCGCACCAGCACCACTACACCACCGCCACAACACCAATTCACCACAGCGCCACCACTTAATTGCACTACTGCACCCACCATCACACTGAGCTTGCCACACTAGCCAAGCGTTGAATACAGGGCAATGTGTTTGTGCTGTTGGTGTGAAATTTATATTGGAGTAATGAAAGTGATATTGGCAGAAAGGTGCGTGAATGATGAAGTCATGCGTGAAATAATGAAATAGACGGAGTGGTGATAGAGGCGTGTGTACGAAGTTGATGGAGCCGTGCGTACGACGCTGATGGAGCCGTGTGTACGACGCTGATGGAGCCGTGTGTACGATGTTGATGGAGCCGTGTGTACGATGTTGATGGAGCCGTGTGTATGATGTTGATGGAGCCGTGTGTACGATGCTGATGGAGCCGTGTGTACGATGTTGATGGAGCCGTGTGTACGATGCTGATGGAGCCGTGTGTACGATGTTGATGGAGCCGTGTGTACGATGTTGATGGAGCCGTGTGTATGATGTTGATGGAGCCGTGTGTACGATGCTGATGGAGCCGTGTGTACGATGCTGATGGAGCCGTGTGTATGATGTTGATGGAGCCGTGTGTACGATGCTGATGGAGCCGTGTGTACGATGCTGATGGAGCCGTGTGTACGATGCTGATGGAGCCGTGTGTACGATGCTGATGGAGCCGTGTGTACGATGCTGATGGAGCCGTGTGTACGATGTTGATGTGGCCGTGTGTACGATGTTGATGGAGCCGTGTGTACGATGCTGATGGAGCCGTGTGTACGATGTTGATGGAGCCGTGTGTACGATGTTGATGGAGCCGTGTGTACGATGCTGATGGAGCCGTGTGTACGATGTTGATGGAGCCGTGCGCTTGATGCTGTGGTAACTGTCTGGTGATGCTGCTAGGCTGCTGGTTCCCAACAAGGGCTACGAGGCCGTGGGGCAGAGTGCCGACCACCGGCCACTTGTGCAGTTCGACTCCGACAGGTGGGCACGCACGGGGCACGCGTCGGGTCACATGGGGCGCCGTAGCCGCTGCCGGGCAGGCGAAGGGGGGCGGCACTCGGCACCGTCATCTACGGCCGGCCCCATCTCACTTCCACACGTACAACACTCGCCTGGATAATCCTGGTTTGCGCTCGCCCATCAAATTACTAAACCAGGCTCAACCATGCTTAACATTGTTGGGAGGTGGTGGCTAAGCTGCACGTGGTTGCCTGTGATCCAGCGCTGTGGAGGCAGCAGCGAGGGTTGGTGGATAGTACACGGGTGTAGTGAAACTCCCTTCCCACTCATTAATTTGCTGCTAACACCTTAATTGATCGACAGAGGATTGTCGAGCTTGGGGGGGGGGATTTGGCACCGGCTCACTGCCTGGCTTCCTTCCCGGCTGCCTGTGCTTCCTCGAGCCTCTAAGTCGCTCTCTCTTCGAGAGCAAGCAAACACCTTGCAGCGGTGGTGTAGTGTTACAAGTTGAAATGATTGCTAACTTCCAAGATCATGGCCATTCGAAGTGAATTGGTTGGGTGGCCTGCGACTGTCACCCCCCGCACTCCCACCAGTTCAATGCCATGTTCCTACGGTCAAGCGTCCTCATTGCGCTGACGCTGGCGCCCGTGTTGCCCCCGCAGTGAGGAAGAGCTGGACATGTCGCAGCACTCGTCGGGGTACTCCTCGTCAGAGGTGAGACCGGGATTGCCGCATTCAGCGGTGTGTATGTATGTACGTTGAACTTCTTTCGCACCATACGTAGCCAACCGTGCTAATCGGAGGTGCGGTTTGCGTGGGCAGGCTCGTTTGCTCGAGCGGCCCAAACAGGGGCCACAGCAGGGTGGTAGCACCTCGGTGATGGCATTCGTAGCCCCTTGCAGCGAGAAGTGTTTGGGTTCAATTCCCGACTCGGGCGCCTTCCTGTGTAGAGTTTGTATGATCTCCCTCTGTTCTGTAGTGTGTGAATGAGTGAGTGAGCGAGTGTGTAGAGTTTGTATGTTCTACCTCTTAGTCCTTCACAGTGAGTGAATGTGGAGTTTGTATGTTCTCCCTCTATTCTGTAGTGTGTGAATGAGTGTGAGTGAGCGAGTGTGTAGAGTTTGTATGTTCTACCTCTTAGTCCTTCACAGTGAGTGAATGTGGAGTTTGTATGTTCTCCCTCTATTCTGTAGTGTGTGAATGAGTGTGAGTGAGCGAGTGTGTAGAGTTTGTATGTTCTCCCTCTATTCTGTAGTGTGTGAATGAGTGTGAGTGAGCGAGTGTGTAGAGTTTGTATGTTCTACCTCTTAGTCCTTCACAGTGAGTGAATGTGGAGTTTGTATGTTCTCCCTCTATTCTGTAGTGTGTGAATGAGTGTGAGTGAGCGAGTGTGTAGAGTTTGTATGTTCTCCGTCTGTTCTGTAGTGTGTGAATGAGTGAGTGAGCGAGTGTGTAGAGTTTGTATGTTCTACCTCTTAGTCCTTCACAGTGACTGAATGTGGAGTTTGTATGTTCTCCCTCTATTCTGTAGTGTGTGAATGAGTGTGAGTGAGCGAGTGTGTAGAGTTTGTATGTTCTCCGTCTGTTCTGTAGTGTGTGAATGAGTGTCAGTGAGCGAGTGTGTAGAGTGTGTATGTTCTCCCTCTATTCTGTAATGTGTGAGTGAGTGTGAGTGAGTGTGTAGAGTTTGTATGTTCTACCTCTTAGTCCTTAACAGTGACTGAATGTGGAGTTTGTATGTTCTCCCTCTATTCTGTAGTGTGTGAATGAGTGAGTGAGCGAGTGTGTGTAATTTGTATGTTCTGCCCCTGTTCTGCATGGGTTTCCTCCATGTTCTTGGGTTTCGTCCCACAGCTTAAAAAAACACAGACAGTGTAACTGGTATTGTCCAAAACATCCCCATGTTGAAAATATGATGACCTGTAAGTCACTCAATTGGGATTCAAAACAGCACCAACGTTGTGCCCTACTGCTACGAAATCCAGCACTGTGGAGGCGGGACAGGTTGGGTGGATCGCGCAAATGTTGTGAAACGCCCTTCCTATGGCCGTCAAGGAGATGTTATAGCCTGGCTTGCCAGAAGAAGTCCAGCACCTGTTCCATTTGTGCGAGATAGAGCGTTGCCCCCTCGCACACGCTTGGGTTTTCTGCGTGTGCTCTGGTGTTCTCCCACACGTGAACATCATCAATCGGATGATAACACCTTCATATACAGAGGACTACAGAGCTTGGGGGTTGGGGGGGCAGGGATTTGGCACGGGCTCACTGCATGGCCGTTGCCATCTTCCCACTTGTCTGTGGTTCTTCCTCGCACCTCCGAGTCGTTTTCTCTGTCTCGCTCTCTCTTCGTTAACGAGCAATTACTCTGTGGCGGAAGTGGCAGTGTGTTATAAAATTGAGGTTATTATGAGTTGCTTTTGACGCAGCAATACACATGGAACCGTGTTTCTCAACTCCATGGCAGGGTGGGGGTAGGGGTTCGCCGTGGGAACTGCTGTCAAAAATATCAGTTCTCGTAACGATTTCCCGTCTCCTCTCATTCCCGCTCAGATCAACCCTGACCTGAGCCGGCAGCTGCTGAAGGACGGGTACCGGCTCGACGAGGTTCCCGACGATGAGGACCTGGACCTCATCCCGCCGCGACCCGTCGGCCAAGCCTGCATGTGCTGCTGCAGCTCGTGCACCGTGCAGTAACCGCGGGGGGTCGGCAGCTGTGCTGGCCGCCACGACCGGGGACGGCGGTCATCGTGGTGACGGTGACGACCGAGGGTGATGGTCGTCACGGTGGTGACGGTGGTGACGGTCGTCACGGCGACGGTGATGGTGACGAACCGGGGACTGCGGTCGTCATGGCGATGAACGAACAATCGCAAATCGAGCGGCACGCTGGCCTCCGCGTGACCTCGCTTTCCCCGAGGGAGACCCTACGTGGTCCATCACGGGTTTTGTCTCCGGTTGCCGCGGCAACAATTTAGCGAGCTCTCGCGCCGAACAATCTGGTCAGGTTTCCAGCAGCTGTCCGGAATGGCAATGGCGACGGCGCCTTCTTCTTGCCCCAAGTTCCCGGCTGCCCCCCTCTCCTTGGTCATGGGCTTGCGCATGTGCGTGCTCGCACCTTCACAAGCGCGCTCGTGCTGCGACGACATATAGATACTTTTTTTGTTTACCACTTTATTTTATTGCCTTTGTGCAGATGAAAAGGTCAGTTGGCCTGCAGTTCTGGCCGATGTTGAGCAATAATGTGATGCCGCCCCATGCCTTGCGTGCGGTGCTGTATTTGTGCGTCTGTGTGCATGTGTGTGCATGTGTGTGTGGCGGCTGTTGTGTGTGTGTGTGGAGAGCGGTGGCACAGCGGTTAGCGATCCGAGATCAATTCTTATGGCCAACACCAGTGACGGATATCTGAACCAGTCCTAGCCTCCCCGAGGTCGACTCAGCCTTAAAAATTAGTACTTTATGCGGTGAGTAAAAATCTACATTTGAGGAGACAAAGGCGGCCAGGCATGGTGAAGACCACACCACCACCTCGTGTGCTGTGCTGGCATTCATAGGTGCTTGCTAACAGCATTTGCCTCTATAGTCTGTTGAGGCTACATGGGGAATCTTCATGTGTGTGTGTGCGTGTGTATGTGCACAGTGTTCTGAGTGTTTAATCTGACTGCATTCCACAGAATTTACTCTTTAGCTTTGTCTCCTACATTGACGTATTTTTTTTACGTATCGAAGGATGTATTTATTGTGAGTACCCATCCAGCCCGGGACATGGTTCCTTCATCAGAGCTGGCCTGGCCGAAGAAACTACTGAGTGTGCAGTATTTACCTAATGCTGCAGAGGCATGCTGAAGAGCCCAAACATGGACGTTACCCAACCCCGTGACCACCTAACCCTGACCTCGCCCAATATGCTCGCCCAATATGCTCGCCCAATTTCAATTCTTACCGTGACCCTGACCCCCTTGCCCCCAGCCCACTTATTTATTGTTGCCCATCTGTCAGGGCCGTAATGAGGCTAGAGCAGATTGGCGTGATTTGTCACCGGTAGTTGTTGACGCACCGAGATAGATTTGATCGCTGCTCCCACGAATGTGCAACAAAGGCGGCAGCTTCCAATGACTTCACAGGCAAAGGTCACGCGGACCACCCTGCCCAAGGTTGTGCGCTGCTCTAGACCAATCACTGTTCGTCGAACGTACTTGTCGGCAAGATTGGCCAGACACGACCCTGCCACTCGATACCGCTGCCTGTGCCAGGTCGCCGCAGTCGCTCAGAAATCGTTTTTTCCTATGACAGTTGCTGGCTACGATTGCCATAAAATTGCCCTCGTTCATCATGGCCCCTGGCGATATATCGTGGTCGTGCATGGGGACCTAAGTAGTTTCAGCCGTGTCTGTTGGGGTCAGCGACCCAGAAAATATTTCTACACCCGATACCCCACATCCAGGATACCTCTCACTATGATTGTGGCTACCACCACTAGTCACAGTCACGTACCACCTACTCCATACTCCCAGCGACCCGGGAAAATATATTCGGTGAAAAATTTAGTCCTGGGTCCATCCCAAGCTCCGTGCTGTGGGTGGAGAGGGTGCAGGGGCTGTAATATCGAGCTGGAGTGGAGTGGGGATGGGGAGGGGGATGTCTGTGTGTGTGTGCAGCGTTCCCACTTGCTGGGTTGCGGGGTGTGTGTGTGTGCACGTACGCCTGTGCTTGCGTGTCGCGTGCCCTCTGCAGTGCATGTCGCATGTTCATCGAACTGGCTGGGGGGGGGGAGCTTTGTGTTTATTTACACCCCATTTTTCCACGCTTTGCCACACAGATCCATTCATCAATCTTCGTAGTGTTCACAAAATGACGCTCTTCCCAACCGGACCGATCTGACCGGCACGCTGTCAGTCTTTAGGTTTTTTTAAACCCCTGTATTTGGTAGGACGCCCTCTCCACCAGCACAGGTGCAATCACGCAATCACAGGGCTGCACGTTTGACCGTTTACTGCACAAGGATGTAAAATACGTGAATCGTACTGCCTTGTAAAAGACTTTGGTGAGAGTTGAATATTTGATGTGATTTTCAATATGAGAATCGGTATGCGGTGACATGCTTTGAAAACCATTCACCTACCACTTAACAAAAACTCAAAGTAGAATCAATAAGACTGGCCCTTTAAGGGAAAAAATATATTTAAAAATATATAATAGGCGATGTTTTGGGCAATGACCCTTCATGTCACACTTAATTTCGGTAGCGTTGGTAAGTGCGGCATCATGCCAGAGCGCCCACGGAATCGGGAGTGTATGCTCACAATCCAAGTGGTGTTTGATTCCCATGTTTTAATAATATCTGTATGGAATCTGATCCCACGTGAAGCATCATTGAGTTTGTATATAATCCACGTGCAATTGTTATTTATCCTAACAAGTGCATTTCGATTAAAAACAACTTGTTCCTTCTTGAGGGCGCAATACGCTGTCCACGTTACCCTTGGCAGGCAACCGCACATTAACACGCCCACACACACCTACTCCTGTCACCGCAGGAGGCCCTTGCAGTGACACAAAGTTTATTTTAATTTTGTTTAATCAGGTGAGAACTCGGGAGACCAGGAGAAGTTTAATTTGCAAGAGTGACTCTTGACCGAGCATATCCCTAAAATTGTACACGCGATCTTGCCAGGCCAAAATGTCACCGTCCCTCCTGGTACCCAATTGATGCGGCCATTTAGAAGTGGTAGGCCTCGTGTGACCCATGGGCCGCGATTTCATTTTTTGGAACCTTATTCAAGATGCGTGGAAGGGTCTGCTTCACGAGCATAAAAACAATGTAAGATGCAAGTCCATCAGCCTCTTGGTCTTATAAAAATCAATCAACGCTGGTGTCGCCTCTCTGAATCTCATCAGCAGGGCGTACTCCGGTTAGGATTAAGATACTCAAAAGGGCAATACCGGTTCAGGATTCATCTGCCGATTCATCTGTTGCAGGAAGTGTTTTAGAAGCCCCCCAGGTTTTTGGAGCAGTGTGTATTTACGACAGAGATATGTCTTGCTTTATTTGTTACCTAACGTCCACCAGCGGTTAACACATTTCGTCAGGCGGCGGTCGGCGATGGACGCCTGTAATCCAACACTGGAGGCGAGGGTTGGTGGATCACACACAGATGGTGGGAAACTCCCTTTCGGTGTTGAGGAGGAGGAGCGATTGCCTGGCTCGCCAGGCGAAGGTGGTACAGAAAAATGGGGGAAAATGTTCCATCGTTATTGGATAAGAGCGTTGCCCCTCGTGGGCATGTGTTGTCTCCGGATACTCCAGTTTCGTCCCACTTGCAGACATTCATTGGCTGTTAACGCCTTCATTATGTCGAGGACCACCGGCTCGCTGCCTTCTCTCTTTTGGTTCCTCGTGTCTCCGCGGCGTTCTGTGTTTTCGAGAGTGAGCAAATGGTGTGCGTTACAAGTTGTTATAATCGGCGATGATCAATCCGCTGCTGAATGAAGACCTCCCCAATTCATCGCCACCTCTGGCATTTTGCACAATTAATGCTGAATGCTGTAGGATGGAGCGGTGGTGCAACGGTTAGCAAAATGCACTGTGACCTCGATCGGCCGAGTTCGAGTTCCGGCGATATCAAAACTCGTTCTGAGCCTCCCCCCACCAGCCAGCCCCTTTACTATACCGAACTGGCCAGCGTGGTGAGGTATGACCCCCCCCCCCCCCCCCCACGACCGGCGGGGAGGGGGAGCCCTTCATCCAGCAGTGGGTCCACGGTGGCTGTGGTTGTCTACCCCGTGCATCTCGCCCTGCTCCTGCTGCTGCCCTGTGACCCTTGCCTGTACATTACTCTCGTCTCGTGAAACATTGACGGTTACATTGTGTACACGCTGCTGGACTCTTACAAAATAAACGCGAGTGAACGACGCACGACTGCACTCGTGTTGTTAGTAGTCGACGAATAACAAGCATCTGTCTGTATATAGACACACAAAGGTATATTTGGCAGGTCCCGTTATGTGCAGGGACGGATATGTGTAGCAGGAGGACACGAAGCGTTCACTTGTTAATGTTGTATTATCCACAACCACGCCAGTGGTTATTTTGTTACATAACTTTATTTTATAGCCAGATGACGGGGTAAGGTTGAACTTGATAATATTTATAAGAGATCCTTTCATGCCACAATGTTCAAGGCCACTTCACACCAGTCAAGATATAATAGTTGTAATAATACTTTAAATAGTTATAATAATGCTTAAGGAATAATGCAGGAAGCATATCGTCAAAAGATGCCAGGATAACTCAGAGGGCTCCAGGATAGAAATGTCTCAATCTTTGGATGTAAAAGTAGTGAAACTAACAACGTGGCCTAAAGCATAACGTTTATAATTCGACGCTTATTACCCACGACGAAGCACGCGTTTAGACTAATTAGATAAGTTTGCTGCTTTAAATGTCCAAATGATACGCCACTTCGTTGTTGAGCTATTATTAGTGGCCAGGTCGCTTTTGAAAAGCAAGTTAATACCTCAGTGGGCTTTGCCTGGTAGTCTGGGGGTGGTCTAGTTTGTATGTGTGTGGGTGGTTTGTTTACCTTTCCTGTACTTTTCACGTCTATCGTGTTTTTGTATTGTTTGTCGTAACGTTTCTACCCACCCCGACTGGACATCTGTGAAAACGAGCTTCATAGCTCATCGGATTCCTCCTCCAGTATTAATCAATATTATGACTGAGAAGCACGGTGGCAAAAACAAATGAACAAACACCGAAGAGTGCAAATAAACGTGGAGAGATGTGTGCTTGGAATTACTGCACGCTGAGCAACAGAGGAACACGTGGCTTGAATGTTTCTATGCAGGTTAATGGCATCATCATTCAAACTCTTAAAGTGTGCTTGGGCAGGAAAGTTACGGATCACGGCCGGTCGTCAGGACTACTTACGGAGTGGCAGGGAGGAAGGGACGGATCGATGAATTAAGAATCTTTATCCTGGAGGAATCCGATGAGCTGTAACGCTCTAGTTCGCAGGTGTCGAGTGGGGCACGGGGTCAGAACGTTGCAACAACAACAACTAAATACAAAAACACGATCGGAGTGCAAAGTAAGGCTAAGGTAAGTCAATCACGAACAATACATCAAGTATATAGGTTCAAATTGCATGAGGGGCCGTCCATAAATGACGTCACGCACCTAGTGGGGGGTCAGACATTTGTGATGACGAGGGGGGGGGGGTGAGAAATGCGACGTCACATCAAAATGCGCAACTTTAAATAAATATAGACGACACGTTCTACTAAATTAAATAGACTTTTTGATAAACGTTATCTCCTACATCAGAGTGCAGCGCCACATTAAATACGCACTACAATCACAATAGTTTAAAGCGATTTGAAGCATGTCGTATTTTTTGGGGGGGCAGAGCTTTGTGACGTCATATTTGAGGGGGGGGGCAGATTTTTTGTGACGAGGGGGGGGGGGGGGTCAAAAATCGTCCATAATCGCGTGACGTCATTTATGGACGGCCCCTGAGTACATCAATCCCCATGGTTGCGCAAGGCAGCGAAACAGCAAAAACAGCCAGTCCCAGACCACGCGAAGGCAGCGAAGTGGCGCATTAAAGCGGCACCGTCGACACACGCACAGGTAAATCAGCTCGTGAGCAGCAGCGGGCGAAGTGTTCCGTGGCGAGAGACGGCACGTGGACGTGGCTTCGCGGGGGTCTCCACACAGCCGTCAATTGGGGGGCTCTGGCTGGCGATCGATGGTGGCTGAAGCGCGTGGCGGAGCACGTGGGGGGAGGGTAACACAAACACGCCGTGACGTCACAAAGCGTGTGCAAGGGCACGCAAATTGATAACAGATTATTTTTCGTGCTCTTAGGTTTTTTCGGTAAAGTCACGTAGGTAAAACATCAAAATTAATAAAAAATAAAATAAAGATCACGACGTTTCGGAGGCAACACAAGTCGAAACGTCGTGATCTTTATTTTATTTTTATTAATTTTGATGTTTTACCTACGTGACTTTACCAAAAAAAACCTAAGAATATGAATCATTGCAGTCACGAAAGCTTCAAATCTAGAATTATTTTTCGTGCCTGAATCCACCCGCCCGCACACTCGACACGAATCGATTTCATAATCGAATCGAACGGGCGCGCGCCCGTGGGGGGGGGGGGGGCATCAGAATCGATTAACTTCGCGGGTTATGTTAATGAGCTTCCTGCGGGCAGAAGTCACGTGCCGCCCCATTGACCAATCAGCGCACGAGACGAACCTCGCTCAGGGCTCCCGTGCATTTCCACTCCAAACATCTCCCCACGAGGCAAGTGTAGGTAAGGAGGCGCGCACCGCTCACCACGCCCGGCTCTCCCCTCGCGGCGCGGCAGGGGACGCCGGAGGTTGCGCCGAAAGTTTGGCACCGCTGGAAAACCATGGACTCCCGGGCTCTGACCCGTCCCCCCTCGCAGACCCCCCCCCCCTCCGCCTCGCCAGACTCGCCGGGAAGAGGCCTCCTTGGGCGGTATGGGAACTAGGCAAGGGGAGGCTAATCGGGGATACCCGGGCCAAGCCCTCGGTGTTCACAACAATGGAGACGCGGGAGGTTTCGGGTGGCGACTGAGATCGCGTGGCCCTCTCGCGGTGGGGTGGGGGGGGACACGAATGGGATCGCACATTCACAGCCCCCCCCCCCCCCTCTGCGTCAATCCACTGCTGGATGAGCTGCGTCCTCCTCCTCGCGGCTGCTCCGGTCCATGCCTCGCCACGTGCGGCGCCAGTGCTGGTTGGCGAAAGGGCCAGGAGCACGGAGGTGCAGCGCAACGACGCGTGGTGTAGTTGCACTGCCCGCCGCGTAGACCTGCAGCAGCAGGCCACAGCTGCAGCAGGCTACAGCAGCAGCAGGCTACAGCAGCAGCAGGCTACAGCAGCAGCAGGCTACAGCAGCAAGCAGCAGGCTACAGCAGCAGGGCTACAGCCGTTGGCTGCAGCAGCAGGGCACAGCTACAGCAGCAGGGCACAGCTACAGCAGCAGGCTACAGCAGCAGGGCACAGCTGCAGCAGCAGGGCACAGCTACAGCAGCAGGCTACAGCAGCAGGGCACAGCTACAGCAGCAGGGCACAGCTACAGCAGCAGGGCACAGCTACAGCAGCAGGCCACAGCTGCAGCAGCAGGCTACAGCAGCAGGGCACAGCTGCAGCAGCAGGGCACAGCTACAGCAGCAGGCTACAGCAGCAGGGCACAGCTACAGCAGCAGGGCACAGCTACAGCAGCAGGCTACAGCAGCAGGCCACAGCTGCAGCAGCAGGCTACAGCAGCAGGGCACAGCTGCAGCAGCAGGGCTATGCATGGCGGTTGTGGCCCATCCGAGCAGTGAAGAGGGGTCCCCGCGCTCACGTTCGGGCTTGGCGAGGTTGGGGGGGCATCGCCGCCACGTGAAAAGCAAAAAAGTGACCCGGCTTGGTGCTGCGGCCTTGGCAGGATTGTGCAAAGCAGCAATAACAACAGCGGCAGCTTCGCACGTTTCACGTCAATAACCACGTAACCTTAAAAAGGATATAATAGGCGACGTTTTCGGCAACGGCCCTTTATGTGTGTGTGTATGTCCCCTATATTAAGGCCGCAGTGTTCCTTGACTAATGACTTATGAGCGGATGTCGCATTGGGTTTCCCCGAGGTGCAAGGAGCTGGCGCGTATCGCGTTTGAATTCGTTTCCTTTGGATGGGCATAGCCCCTGGGTTTAATAGAAATCGCACTTAGAACGTCGGTGTCAGCGTTGTTATCCGAGATACAAATACATCGTGGATTGCAACTCGGTCTCGAGCATCTGGGTTTCGAACGAACGACATCCATTTCGTCCCAATGACGACGGGTGACCCCGTGCCCCCCTACTGGACATCTGGGAAAGAGCGTCATAGCTCATCGGATTTCTCCGGGATAAATTAACATTCTGATGTGTGACACTGAAATCACGGAGGGCGCAGGCCAGCAGGAGAACGCTGCCGTCTCCCACCCCAACCGCATCAGAGCATCGCCAGGGTGATGCTCACATCTCCTTCAATAAGTGTGGAAAATGAAAGGCAAGCAACGGTGGTGTGATTGTGGCCATGCAATTCAACTGTGGACCGCACAGTAAACCGCTGTAGTCTGTGCTCCTTACATGGAGGAATAGAAAACACTTAAGAAATTCTCTCCCGAAGCCCTCTCGTGGCCAGCAGACCTCGACATTAGCTGATGAATAAGTTGCCATGGGCAAGAATGTAAAAGAATGATTGAATTACAGTGATAATAAAAAGAATGATTGAATTACAGTGATAATATAATTGATCCCCTAGGTCTGCCCTGCGTCGGATTAGGTTCGCCTTTGTCGCCTTGGTGATGCTGTGTGGCATGGAGATGTCATGGAGTGGCATGGAGATGTGTGGGTATCACAGGATCGCGTTGCCCCCATCCCGGGTCTCACGGCCGCTCTCCCCGCCTCTGCCCCCCCCACAGAGCAGCATGCCCAAGTCCCGTGAATTCGTGGAGTCCAGCGACTCGGACAGCGACTCCGACGTGCAGGTAAGTCTGCACTCAGGCCACCTCGCTCTTCTGGGAGGGTCAGCTTGCCGCGATGAGCTGACGGCCACTGCCTTGCGGACCCGTCAGTCGCACCTACTTTTAAATATCCACACCCACTCAACCGCTAGCCCGGCCACACACGGAGTAGCCTCACCATTGGCTCTAATATTGACCCCACCACCTGCTCAGGTAGCCCCGTTCTTTGCCGGTATCGTGAGTCAAGCGGGAAGCCAGATAATGTTAAACCGGAGTCAACATGGTCAGGACTTGGGCCTACCAGACTGACTGGTTTGTCTCATCAACACACTGCTCGGCTTCAGTATGCTCTTATAATAATAATATTGCGCAATTTCAATAAACGCGTTAAGTCTTATCTATTACAACTTTTATCGTACGGTTTGTTTCTGGCCGTTGGACGTTTTGGACCTTTGACTTTTTCAACTCGTGTTTAAATAAAAAAATAAATTCTGATTTTCACAAATCTCTGGGACACTAGGACTGCCCTTTCTGAGACCAACGGGTCCTCCTCGGCCTGGCCGGGATGTCCGGAGGCCCTCGCCTGCGTGTGGCTCGAGCCGCCCCTCCACGGCCACCACGCAGCCCCTGTCGCCCACGCGGCGTACTGCTCCGCCGTGCTGACCGCGACGAGGAAGGCGGGAGTCGCATGTTTTTTCCGATCCGTTGCGACCAAGGCCTCACCGCGCTAACCACAGCAGGGGGACTGCGCTGGGGTCTGGGGGTGGGGTTCACGTTCCTAAGTTTTTGAAGGCTCCTGCCAGCCTCGGAAACTACGACGCAAAGATGAATAGCCGGGTGGTGGTGGCTACGCATGCCGCTGATGATAATATTAATGTTTATTTTATAAAGCGACTTTCATAACGAATATCTAAAGCGCTGTACGTAAAAAGAAACATATAAACTACGTGCCCAATTATAGATAAAATCCAATTAAAATACAGGAAAGGAAACGCTCATAATAGTAACAATTACACTTGCAATGTAGTAAAAATGAAAAACAAACTTGGATAAAAGCCAGATATAATGGAGAGGAGTAGCCTGGTCCAGGGAGCACCCATCGCCAGGGCGAGGTAGAAGGTCGCGAGATCATTCGGTGCCTTATAGGTTCGTCACGTCATTTTAAATTCGACTCTGAATTGCACTGGGTGCCGCCAGTGCAGCAAAGATGCCAACAGAGGTGAAGTATGGTCAAATCTCTTAGATCTAGTCAAGATCCGGGCAGCTGAGTTCTGCCACATACCGCAGATTTAAAAAAACATTCTTAGGTATGCCATCGAGCAAAGCGTTGCAGTAGTCGAGTCGAGAGAAGATGAGGGCACGCATTCGCTTCTCTGCAGCAGCTACGAAAGGGCACGAGCGTGTTTACAGAATTCCCTCTTCATTATTCGCGAGGGACACGTTCCAGAGATGCTCGTGAATCGAACATTTTGCGGATGATATTTGCCTACGAACACCTATCTTCTTCATGAATTACCTTGAATACATACATCAACTATTAATTACATGAACATTATGATAACACATCTATTTATCTCATCAATTGATCTCTCGTCACTTTATCTTATCAGCCGTGTAGAGTTTCCAATGTGATTTGCGGATAGCCAAAATCGTGGATATCAAGTTCGTGAATAATGACGAAATACTGGATGAGCAGTGGTGCTAAGGTGAAAGAATGGCACCTTTACAACGTTACGTTCCAGCACTGCGCAGGCAGCGAGAGTTTGAGGATCACGCATTTTGTGAAACTTTCTTCCCGTGGAGACAAGCCGTGGTCCCAGTCTGACAATCTCTGCCCTTTTTCTGCTCTGAAGAGGGGCCATTACCTAAAACGTTGGCCTGTTATATTTATTTGTCTGTTTTAGGCAGTGTTAATATTCAATGTTGTAAGTTTATATTTTTGTATTTATTTTCAAATTTTTTTTATCCCAATGATGCCGTGTCGTGCCAAGAAACCAAAGGTCCATTGGGAGCACTCCCACATTAGACTGCAACCCACTTAAACGGATCCCGCAGAGCTACCTCCGAGATTCCTTCAAGTGACCTCTGGTACCTCTGGTACAGAGTAATGTTCATTGGACGACAGCCAATTTGACATTTTTTTCATCTCATAGCGGGAGAATTTAACCGATGACGGGTGTCTTGTGCGGTCATCGGTGACCGGGCCGAGATGCTGGCGAGTGGCGAGTGCGATGTTGTGTTAATGTGAAAGACCCAACGAATAAGATTCCTGGGTATGATCTTCCACTGCACAAACCATGGCAGATGCGGATACCTGCTGCTGCACAAATATTAAACGTGAAACTCTCCAGTGTGCGACTGTGGTCATCCAAAACAGACCGTAAACGTGTGACGACGCAATGCCCAATCCACAAACAGGAGACATCACAGCGATAGCCACTCGGCTGCTCCTGACGCGGTGGTCTGGCTTGACCACCTGAATGTGACATTGTAGTTGCTGCTCTGCATCTTCTTCAGCAGCCAAGCGAAATAAGAAGATTGATACCATCAGCATCAACACCACTTTAGTATTTATTGGCACATCATCATTCTCAATCAAATGCTGGATGAATGCTGCTCCATCCCGATCGCACATCTTGTCATCGCTGTTACCTCTTCATCGGGGCCACCGACAGTCTGTGTCTCTCCCTCGCCCCCCGCGGCCACGCAGACGAAGAGATCGAAGAAGGAGAAGGTGTCTTCAAAGCCCGCGAAGAAAGCGCGCACGGAGGCGAGCACCTCCAAGCCGGCGGCGCGTGCCCAGGAGTCTGAAAGTGACAACAACATGTTCCAGGTGCGGTGACACCTCGCTCGTAGATTCCCTCCACCCCACCTCACCTGCCGAGGACTCGGTCTCCCCAGACTCTCATCTGAACCGTGTCGAACACGCTCGTTCGGCCGCTCACTCCACCATGATATCACCCACGCTCTCACCCATTCACCCACACATTCACCCACACGCTCGCTCACTTGCCTGTTCACTCACCCACTCGCTCCCCCATTCACCATACCCGAAGTCGCAGCATTTCTCTATTTCGTCACTCGCACTGCTCCACTTCGGATTTCCCTCCCATCGTCCCCCCCCTCCCCCAAGTTCTTGCAATAACCTTGCTCAATTCAAGAAATGTGTTGCACTCTTCTCTATTCTAACTTCGATAGTGCTGTTTGTTGCTGGCACATTTGTGCCTTTTTCAGCCTGCGCTCGGCAACTGTGTAACAAAATTTACAGACAACAGCAATACACCAGCACGTCACGCACCAACACACAAGCATGCACGCGTCGTAGCGTGGTCGTGACGACGCGGTTGTGCGGCGACAATGCTTGCCGCTCGCGCGGCTGTGGCGATGGGGTGCTGGTGGCGGTTGCCGTAGCGGTTGTGTGTGCTTGTGCCCGCCTGACGCCGCAGCTGTCCAAGATGCGGTACGTGAGCGTGCGCGAGTTCAAGGGCAAGGTGCTCGTCGACGTGCGCGAGTACTACGACAAGGACGGGGACATGAAGCCCACCAAGAAAGGTGCCCCCCCCCCCACTGAGCCCCCCCCCCCCCTCACTGAGCCCCCCATCACACACGCAAGTCGAGCAACTTCTGACGACAAAACGCAACACAATTGGCACGGTTGGCTGTGTACGGTGCGAAAGAAGTTCAACATATATACACATACAACACACCTTCAAATAATACTCTTATATAAGCGCACAACTTTATCTATCTGTGATGAACGCTGCACTTTCAGTCGTTTTCATGCAGGGGGCGCTGCAAACCTACGCGCCCCCTGCATGAACAACGGAGGCGCAGGGACAGACGCTCGATGACGTTGGAATCGATCTGCAGACGGCGGTCTTCTCGCACGGCCAGCAGCTCCGTGTCGCCTTGTCTCGATCCCGCAATCCCAAACTGGTGAAAGTCCGCATCGAACCGAACCCCCAGCAAGGCCATATCTACTTAACGACGAGAGAAAATTCACACAAAATGTCCTTTTCAATTAAGTCTTTTAGATGTAAAGTTATATAAGCTTTTAATGAAGAATTACAATTATCTAATTCAAAACATAATACAATTCAAAGATGTTTCATTTAAAAACTTCATAACGGAGCGTCGGGTGCTTGCGTGAATGCGTTATTCGTGTGCAATTTTTTTGTGACTTTCCTGGCAGAAGGCTGTAAATGGTTGTTCGGGGGCGCCCCCGAACAGCCCCTAGTACATGTATAACAGGCACCATTTCTGGCAATAGCCCTTCTTCATAGCACATTAAGGGCCATTACCCAAAACGTCGCACTTTATGTATAAATGTATATTTAAAGCCACCGTTATTGACGAATGTGGTGTTTTTATGTTGTGCACCACCGCCAGCGCAGCATCACTGAGGGCTGACGGGGTCAGGCTGGGTCCGTAGGTGGTGCTAATGACGATATAAAAACACTTCTATTGGGCTATCATTGTGGCCAGGTCTCATCTGAAAGAAAGCTATATAGCTCAGTGGGCCTTACCTGATCAAATCGTTTTATTTTACTGCTGGTGCTCCGTGCCAGTTGGTGCCGGTGGTTGTTGGTGGTCCTACAAATGTTGCTGGCAGTCGTGTTGGTGGTGCTACTGGTCATGTGAGTGGTGTTGAAGTGGGGTTGCTGGGGGCTGTGTTGGTGGTGGGTGTTACTGGCAGTCGTGTTGGTGGTGCTACTGGTCACAAGTGGTCTTCCTGGTCGTGGTCGCGCTGGCGGGAGTGTCTCACTCGGCACTCCGCTCTCTGTGCACAGGGATTTCTCTCGCCGTGGACCAGTGGGCACGGCTCAAGGAGCTCATGCCCGACATCGACGCAGCCGTCAAGAAGATGTGAGGGCCGCTATTCTCATCGTCTCCGTCGTCGAGGGCTTCCACCCAGACGCCTGCAAAGTTTTAATCCGAGCCGGGGCTCTTCTGTTTGTGACCAACGGGGGCATGGGTTTTTTTTTTTTACATGAATAAAGTTGGCGTTTAGCTGCGTGCACGCACATGTAGCTGCGTGCACCCATGTGTAGTTGTGTGTGTGCGCGTGTGTGTATAGTTGTGTGTGTGTGTGTGTAGTTGTGCGTGTGTGCATTATGTTTCTGGTCAAGGCAGACGCGCTCCACTCGTGAGTTCCCAAAGTCGTTATTTCCATCGTGTGTTTTTCATGTTACCGTTGTTTCCCGCCGTACCCCACCGCCACCTCCCCACCACGAGATTTTGTACCGGTAGGAGGAGGAGAAGGGGCCCAGCGCTGCCGCCGCCGCCACGCCTCGCCGTGCGCCGCAGCGCTCCCGCCCATCGCGAGCGCCACGTGGCGCGGGGTTTTCTGGCTGCGGCGGTGACGCAATTTCGGTTTCAATAAAAAGGGCCGGGCGCGCACCTCGTCGTCGTCGCCGCGTCGTTCATTCGTTGGTCACGGCAAAGACGCCCACCCGCACCTGCGATGAGCGCGGGGTTGGCTACGTGCGGCGCGAAAGGAGTTCAACGTACGCACGCCCAGCGAACATCTCTTGTCCGTCGTGGTGCACAAGCTGCACAGTTAAAAGTATCTAATGGGTGATGGTCGTTCATAGCGCAAGGAGGGTCATTGAAACGCCACCCATTGTATCTCCTTTGACTCCAAGGTTCTCAACTTGCCTCCCATAGGCAAACACACACAAGGTGTTGGCCAAAACATCCCAAAGCTGAAAAATCCCCTTCAAATTAACCCATTGGGGTCACTCACGTTGGCATCTGCCCTCTAATGAAGAAACTTGGCTGGACTCTCCCGAGTCTTCGAGACTCGTCAGGGCTTTCCTGGGTGACCAAGCGTAGGAATGGTAAACACTCCGTGTGGAGCTGACGTCACCCAGTGAGATACATCAGTGTTGAGATGTTAACTCCCTCACCTGGTCTACAGGAGGTTGTGGGATCGATCCCAACCCTGACGCCTGCTGTCTATTTAGAGTTTGCATGTTCTCTCCGTGATCGCGTGGATTTCGCTGTACATTTAGAAACATGCTTCTGAAAAAGAGCTCGACAGTAAACCCCCTCGATTTGCGATGATTGTGTTCTTGGAAACGCTCGCGAATGCAGAAACCTTGTTCCAATGGGAAAAGTGGGGTTGGGTTCCTCGTACGAGTGAACATGGGGGGGGGGGGGGGGTAATGGTAAATGTTTAAGAACAATGACAATAAATAATAGAATTGTGAATAACAATGTTTCCATCACCTTGGATTTGACGACAATGGAGGTGGTGGAGATGGTGAGGAATGCAGGAGGGAGAAGCAGCTGTTTGATCACAACGCCGCACAGCTGTTATCATTCCAGCACTCTGGGCAGCGCTGCCCGCAACACTTTCCCCGACTGCATTCGCGTTCCTTTGAATGGACCTCGCAGTCGACTCGTTTCTTCCAAAATGTATCGGCGAGTCCACTAAGTAGGTATCAAGTAAAAATGCCAACAGCGAGTTCAGAGCGGGATTCCTGCCAGGCTGAGAACAGCGGGCGCGCCTACTCTTGGTAGCAGACGGTTTCAATGTCACAACGTTCTGCACGCAACCTCCCCGATGCCGGTGGCCTGGCACGACGTTCACTCGCGAGTACTCGAGTTCGGCGGGTCGCGAATAGGGAACGAGTACACATTCAGTAACTCGTGAATAGGGAATGAGTACACATTCAGTAACTCGTGAATAGGGAACGAGTACACATTCAGTAACTCGCGAATAGGGAATGAGTACACATTCAGTAACTCGTGAATAGGGAACGAGTACACATTCAGTAACTCGCGAATAGGGAATGAGTACACATTCAGTAACTCGCGAATAGGGAATTACACATTCAGTAACTCGCGAATAGGGAATGAGTACACATTCAGTAACTCGTGAATAGGGAACGAGTACACATTCAGTAACTCGCGAATAGGGAATGAGTACACATTCAGTAACTCGTGAATAGGGAATGAGTACACATTCAGTAACTCGTGAATAGGGAATGAGTACACATTCAGTAACTCGCGAATAGGGAATGAGTACACATTCAGTAACTCGCGAATAGGGAATGAGTACACATTCAGTAACTCGCGAATAGGGAATGAGTACACATTCAGTAACTCGCGAATAGGGAATGAGTACACATTCAGTAACTCGTGAATAGGGAATGAGTACACATTCAGTAACTCGCGAATAGGTAATGAGTACACATTCAGTAACTCGCGAATAGGGAATGAGTACACATTCAGTAACTCGCGAATAGGGAATGAGTACACATTCAGTAACTCGCGAATAGGGAATGAGTACACATTCAGTAACTCGCGAATAGGGAATGAGTACACATTCAGTAACTCGTGAATAGGGAATGAGTACACATTCAGTAACTCGTGAATAGGGAATGAGTACACATTCAGTAACTCGCGAATAGGGAATGAGTACACATTCAGTAACTCGCGAATAGGGAATGAGTACACATTCAGTAACTCGCGAATAGGGAATGAGTACACATTCAGTAACTCGTGAATAGGGAATGAGTACACATTCAGTAACTCGTGAATAGGGAATGAGTACACATTCAGTAACTCGCGAATAGGGAATGAGTACACATTCAGTAACTCGCGACTAGGGAACGAGTACACATTCAGTAACTCGCGAATAGGGAATGAGTACACATTCAGTAACTCGTGAATAGGGAATGAGTACACATTCAGTAACTCGCGAATAGGGAATGAGTACACATTCAGTAACTCGCGAATAGGGAACGAGTACACATTCAGTAACTCGTGAATAGGGAATGAGTACACATTCAGTAACTCGCGAATAGGGAATGAGTACACATTCAGTAACTCGCGAATAGGGAACGAGTACACATTCAGTAACTCGTGAATAGGGAATGAGTACACATTCAGTAACTCGTGAATAGGGAATGAGTACACATTTGAACGTATTGGCGGTACACCGGTGCACTCTATAGAAAAATAAAAGGAACATTTCCGCAATAATTTACTTTATTTTCCTGCAATTCACAACCCCGGTCAGAAAATCATGCGAGGTGGTGCACCAAAACCAGTTCTCGTGATGTCGAAGCAGTCAGAAGATGAATGTTATGGGTAGCTGAACACGAAGCTTCACAGTGGTGATGGCTGGCTCTGTGTTTTGACTTGTGCTCTAGACTTGGTCGGACGGTTAGGGTTATATTGGAAAACCTCAAATAGCATTTGCTTGTTCACAAAATATTAATATTTTCACCATTTATTGTTGCCATGACAACAACCCTAACCTAACCCTAATGATCCCAACGCTCTGCTTGCCGTCCAATCCATCGGCAGTTCCAGACGAAGATGATGCACCAGTCCCACCTCAGGCTCGTGATCCAACACAAGAAAGCTGCTGCTGTTGTTGCTGCTCCAGGCGCTCGCCCTCCCGGTTAGCCCAAAAAATTGCATACCCCGGACCCAAATCAACGGTCAACATTTACCTTTTTAGCGAGTCTCAGTCGACTGAATAAACATTTGAATCACGCTAAACTTGGCGACAGGGTCAATTAAAGACTGATAAACACATTTGCCGATTTAAATTTAGATTTCAGGCTTTTACGAGGACCAGTGTGTTATGTTGTATAACACACTGGTCCATTTAGTAACTCGCGAATATGCGAAACTTGCAAATCCAGAACTCGCGTATCGCGATGGTTTAGTAGGCCTCACCTGGTAAAATAAAAAGTTAAGTTTTTAGCTTAGATTGCCCGTCATCACGGCACGAATCATCACAACGCCAAACCACCCATCACCACGCTGGCAATCGCGACTCGGCGCCCGCGGTCACGGCGTCCATCATCCCAGCGCGTGCCGAGTGTAGAGCGCCTCGTAGCGCGCGACCTGCTGCGCCGTGAGCGAGGGCGGGATGAGCCGCAGGGCACGCAGGAAGTGCTCCTGCCGCACGCGCTCCACGTCCACACCCTCGTCCGCCATGGCCAGCAGCGCCGCCTGCACCGCGGGGGTGGGGGGGGGGAGAGGGAGAGTGGGGGGGGGGTGCAGGAAGCGACAGGTTTCAGCCACCGCCAGATCCGACGGGACCCGTCGTGCCGACGGTCTCCGTGGCCCTCCCCTCTCGTGATTGGGGCGTCTCCTTGCTGCGTTTCAAGAGTCCGTTCCATTGTTCAACGCTGCGGCGTCAGCTAGCACCTCTAGTGGCTGCAGGGGTCACGTGATTTCCGTTACGCGCGGCACACGAACCGCCAGCCCGTTCCGGCGCAGTGGTTAACGCAACGGCCAAGTTCCGTTCCCAGACACGGCTGACATCGGTGGCAAGCCGTGTCCGGACCTGCCCTCGGCCTCTCCGAGGTCAACTCGGCCTTCAACGAGTACCTGCTGAAGTGCGTATAAAAATACATCAGCAGTGGAAAGACAAAGGTGGCCAGGCGTGGTGGTTGCCAAACCACCAGCCTGTGCACTTACTGGGCACCCATTTGCGTGTGAACGTGTGTGTGAACGTGTGAACGTGTGTGTGAACGTGCGTGTGTGCGTGTGAACGTGCGTGTGTGCGTGTGAACGTGCGTGTGAACGTGCGTGTGAACGTGCGTGTGTGCGTGTGAACGTGCGTGTGAACGTGCGTGTGAACGTGCGTGTGAACGTGCGTGTGTGAACGTGTGTGCATTACCTCGCTGCACACCCCCCTGAGGTCGGCGCCCGTGTACATGTGGGTCGCGTCGGCGAGCTCCGCCAGGGAGACGTCCTCCGCCAGGGGGACCAGCGCCAGTTGCAGCTGCAGGATGGCGAGACGCGTCTGTGGGCAGGGGGCGGAGGGAGGAGCTCATCGTGAGGCCTGCCGGAATGGACGCACGCTTAGAACGAGGTGGTGTTCACGATTCCATAACAACGTTGCTCTAAGCCCCGTACGCAACGCGTCATTCCAATTGCACGGATTGAATGTTTTATTGGAGAATCACAATTTACGTTCGGGGGCCTCGGTTTGAAAAAACTCCTCTAAACAAACAAAGTTTCCATTCATCAAGGAAACTCGCGCCACGATTGTCCGGATGGGGTCCCGGGTTCGTTGGGGAAATAGGTTCAACATGGCCGAATCTCTCACGCAAACCGAGGTGCGGAAATGTCGATCAGAGAACGAGCTTAATCTGTCTCTACACGCAATCTCACACTCGTCCCCGTTCACGTTATCAACGTCTCTGTATTTGCCTTCAGCGACTTTTCAACAATGCCAACGTAATTGTTCATTTATTCATCAGCCAAAAAGGGGCCTTCCAATGAACGCCCAAATCTCCTGCTGGCCTAGATTTGAAGATTTCGTGACTGCAAGGATTCATACTCTTAGTTTTTTCGGTAAAGTCACGTAGGTAAAAAATGAAATTAAAATTAATAAAAGTAATAATAGAAATAAAATAATAAAAATGACATTATTTTATTTCTATTATTACTTTTATTAATTTAAGTTCGTTTTTTACCTACGTGACTTTACCGAAAAAACTAAGAGTATGACTCCTGCTGTCCTCCCTGGGCCGGGCCAACCAGGCGAGGGGGTCTGGCCTTGCAGCCTCTAGGCCGCTAGGCCGCTAGGCCGGCAGGCCTCTAGGCCACTAGGATGGCAGGCTGGCAGGCTGCTAGGCCGCTAGGCCGCTAGGCCGGCAGGCCGGCAGGCTGCTAGGCTGCTAGGCTGGTAGGCCGCTAGGCCGCTAGGCCGCTAGGCCGGCAGGCCGCTAGGCCGGCAGGCCGCTAGGCCGCTAGGGTGCTAGGCTGGCGCGTGTGCGGACTCGGACCGTGGCCCTCCGAGTGACGCGGGCCGCTCGTGGCCGAGCCGCGCGGCACTGGGAGCTAGCAGGCGGGCATCGCTTCACCTTTGCGTCGGGCGGCGGAACGAAGATGACGCTGTCCAGCCGGCCCGGACGCACCAGCGCCTCGTCGAGCACCTCGGGCCGATTGGTCGCCGCGACGACCAGCACGTGCTGGTTCGACAGCTGGGGAGTGTAATGTAGGCATGTTAACTTCATTTGCACCGTACACAGCCAACCGTGCTAATAGGAGGCATGGGGGAAGGACAACAGACTAAACACAAAAAGCAGTTCTAAAGACGTACGTTTTCAATCTATATTTAAAAGTGCTTGGCTCCAGTGGCTTCCGAATATTTGAAGAGCTTTCAGATGTGCTTCAGACGGCCACAGAAGCGCATCTGAAAGCACGCGATGCATTGACCGTCTTTGTTCGATGGTAAGCCAAAATCCACTGCCAGGATGACCGGCGTTCACGTGATGATGGTGGTTTATGTTCCTTGATAAGATCAGCAGCAAGGCAGTGTGATTCATTTGCGGCAAGCACTTTGTGAGTGCGACCTTATAACGCATTCGTTCAGCAACCGGAAGCCAATACAGCTCGGCGAGCACCCGACAGACACGGTCGGATCTTGCCGTGCCCGTCAAGGCACATTCCAAAGACTTTTATACACGCTGCAGCTTTCTAATGTTTTTGCCATACGTCCTGTAGTGGGTTGCAATAATGGAGCCTTGTCGATACTCTGCCACGTGTCACCGTGTTGGCCTTGTCACGACTCAATAGCAACCGAATGTGTTGTTGAGCCTGAGATGAAAATTGTAAGGCCTGACTAGAATTGCAGGACCTGGCTATATTGACCAGAGCAGCCATTGGGCTCCAACCGCGAGCCTCCGGGACGAGCGGCGAGCGTGCGGCCGCTCGGCCACGTCGGTGATGCACCAGCGCCGCGAGCCGCTCGGCCACGGGGCCGCAGACGGCGCCCCGTGTGCGCTCGCTCCCTCACCTCCTCCTCCTCGCTGTCCACTCCCCCGCCCCCCCTCCTTTCGCCAGCGTCGACCCCGACGCCGTCCATCTCGCTGAGCAGCGTGGCGAGGGCGCGCTGCGCCACCCCGGCGGCGCGACCCCGCGACCCCAACAGCGCATCCACCTCGTCCAGGAAAAGCAGGCACGGGGCGGCCGCCCGCGCACGACGGAACACCTGGGGCGGTGGAGCATGGCGGCGAGGGCAGGCGTGGTGGTGAGTGTGGTGGAAAGGTGAGAGCGGCGATGATCACAATAGCGATCACGGTGTTGAGAGCGATGGTGAAAGCGATGGTGAGAGCAATGGTGAGGGCGGCGGTGAGAGCGGTGGTGCGTGCGGTGGTGCGTGCGGTGGTGCGTGCGGTGGTGCGTGCGGTGGTGCGTGCGGTGGTGCGTGCGGTGGTGCGTGCGGTGGTGCGTGCGGTGGTGCGTGCGGTGGTGCGTGCGGCATGCGGTGGCGTGCCCGCACTGGGAGTCGAACCTGCGCGAGGTTTCTCTCGGTTTCGCCCACGTACGGCGACATCACCTGGGCGCCCGACACGCTGAGAAAGGCGACGCTGGCGCGCGCCGCCACCGCCCGCACCAGCGAGGTCTTGGCGCAGCCGGGCGGCCCGTAGAGCAGTGCGCCGCGCGGCAGGCGGGCGCCCAGACGCAGCAGCGCCGCGGGGTGCAGCAAGGGCCACTCCACGCACTGTGGAGGAGCGGCAGCATCAGCAGCAGCGCAAGACGTCATCATCATCATCACACAGCCAACGTCGTCGCAGAATTTCGCGATGTACAAAACATTGTCGCACGACCTGTCCAACGTCGCCGCCGCCAACGCATCACGTGGCGTTGCCGCACGACGTCACCCAATGTGTAATACAGAGGTCACGTGGCAATCACGGTGCCACACGACGTCACCCAATGTGTAATACAGAGGTCACGTGGCAATCACGGTGCCGCACGACGTCAGGCTACCGTGACATTGCACGTCGCGTGGCCACATCCTCACGTGAAATCACAGACCACAAACGTCGCGAGTGGCTTGAGACTTTTAAAATCGAGGAGTCGCGACACGCGCCCAGCTCCGGTGCCGCCAACCACGCCGCGTTCGTCACGAGGTCGAGCGGGCGACCGTGTCGTCATGTTACGTCGCTGGAGTGACAAGTCTAGCAAATGTCTGGGGCGTATACGCGATGCAAAATCACGAGCGATTGCTGGTCTGTGCTACACACCCTGCATTAGTTTCGCAACTCGAGACACTCGGTAAACTGCCTCGCGACGTTTTGTTGGCTTCAGAGGGACAAATCGTTTATTCACGGCTGAGCTGCTGCTGCTGTGCCGCTCTCTGCTGTGTAATCTGGTCATACTGCACCCTGTTAGACACGACGTCCGACGTTTCGCTCCAGATGCTGGGATCTTATTCATGAAAGAAGGTCCCGGCATGTGCAGCGAACCAAACGCATACTGGAGAGATTTATCTCCATCCAGCGACGTTGAGCACCTTGGCGAGGCTCGTTTTAGCGAGTCACAATTCCCGGCATACCCCCCACGCGGGAGACCTTGACTGGAGGAGGGGGACACCACCTGCAGCAGGCGGCGCTTGACGTCATCCAGCCCCACGATGCGGTCCCAGTCTCCGGCCCCACCGCTCTCCACGGCCGGCACGGCGGCGTCGCACCGCATGGCGGTCGGCCGCACCAAGCGCAGCGTGCTGCGAAAGTCGCTCATCTCCACGCGCACGGCCGGCAGCGCCCGCCGGGTCAGCTCGTCGCTCCGCTGCGGATCCTCCCCCTCCTCCTCCTCGCCCCGTCCCTCTCTCTGCTCGTCCGCCAGCTCCACCGGGTTCGCCGCCGCCGCCGCCGCACGCTCTCCGCCGGCCGCTCGCCCATTCGGCCCTCCGTCGCGCCCGGACACCCCCGGCGGCTTCGCCCGCAGGAGGCGTCTCAGCGCGCCGACGGCCGCGTGGCGGCACAGCTCGGCGAGGTCGGCGCCCGCGTGCGCCGGCGTGAGCGCCGCGAGCTCCTGGAGGTCCACGCCCGGCGCCAGCGGCATGCCCCGCGTGAGCGCCGCGAGAATGGCGACGCGCTGCCGCTCCGTGGGCACGCCAAGCACCAGCTGACACGCGCGCCACCACCGTCATCGTCGCCGTCATTAACGTCGTCACAATTGATAGGCCCATCACCAACAGTTACGTGACAACATCACAATCAATAACAATGCGGAAATCCCCATCACCACCATCATCACGATCACCATCACCACCATCGGCACCATCACCACCATCGGCACCATCGGCACCACCGTAACCATCACCACCATCACGATCACCCTCACATCCACCACCATCACCACTACTACCATCACTGCCACGTTCGTTCATTCATTCACACAAAGGAGCACCTCGCAGTCAAATCGGCCGGGCCTCCTCAGTGCCGGGTCCAGGGCCTCTGGCCGGTTGGTGGCGGCCACCACGAGCACGGTCCCGGTCCCGGGGCCCCCTCGCTCGCCGCGGGCCCCGTCCATCAGGGTCAGCAGCTGCGCCACGACGCGCGTGTCCACCGCGCCTCCATCCCCGCGCCGTGGGCACAGGGACTCCACCTCGTCAATGAAGAGGATGCACGGGGTCCCGGCACCTCCATCATCCTCATCATCATCACCACCCCCATCGCCACCACCGCCACCGTCCTGGGCGGGAGGCGTCGCCAGCGCCAGGGCCCGCGCGAAGGCGGCGCGCAGCGCGGCCTCGGCGTCTCCGGGCCGCGGCCCCGCGACGTCCGAGCCGTTGATGGACACCAGCTCGGCCCCGACCTCGTCCGCCACGGCGCGCACCAGCCGCGTCTTGCCCACGCCGGGCGGCCCCGCCAGCAGGAGTCCTCCCGGGGGGCCCCACAGGTGCAGACGCCGCAGGGCGCGCGGGAACCTCGCGGGCAGCAGCAGCAGCTCCCGCAGCCGCTCCGCCTCGGCGTCCAGGCCGCCCAGGGGGAAGCCGACGAGGCGGCTCCGCTGCCGCCTGCGCTTGGCCCGCAGCGCCGAGAGGAAGCGGCGCACGGGAGAGACGCGCGCCACGAAAATCTCGGTGCGACTGTGCACGAGCATGGCCACGGAGCACGCCGCCGCCTCCTCCTCCTCCTCCGGCTCCTCTCTTCTCACCGTCGTCTCATCCCCGGGGGGTCCCTCCTCCTCCCCCAAATCTGCCGGCCTGCTCTCCTCGGCCCCCTGGCCGCCCCGTTGGGCCTCGGCTTGGGCTCGCCGCACGAGCACGTAGAGCACGGGGTGGCCGTGGCCCGCGACGCGCAGCGCGCAGCCCGGGAACACGAGCGCTCCCCGCAGCAGCTCCCGCGTCACATCGCGCAGCTCGGCCGCCGTGGGCAACGCGGAGGTGGCGGCGGCCGCGGTCTCGCCGCCACCCCCACCACCCCCCCCGGGCTCGGGAGCAGCGCACACCGCCGTGACGAAGAGGCGCTTGGCGCGGACTCGCGGGAGCGCGCGGATCCGGTGAAGGGGAATCCGCGCGGGCAGCGCTGGGTCGCGTCCTCCCACGCCCCCGGCCTCTCCGCCGCCGCCGCCGTCGTGATCGGGGTCTGCCCCGAGCAACGCGGCGAGGCTCCCGCAGCGCGCGTCCACCTCAACGTGGCCCTCTGCCAGGTCGGGCCGCGGCCACGCGGCGCACAGCAGCAGCCGCTCCTCGCCGACCGCGTCTCGGCCCAGCGAGAGGCGCAGGGGCGCGCCCAGCAGGCCGACCCCGAGCGCTCGCAGCGCCCCGGGGCCCAGGCGGCAGCGCTGACTGCTCGAGTCGCCGAGCTCCGCGGGGTGGAGGCACAGAGACGAGGGCCCCGCGAGCGAGAGGCGCGCGGCTCCACGCGCCCCAGCCGGGGACGCCATGGCTCGGCCGCTCCCTCCACGAGCCCGGGGCGCGCAAAACTCAACTCACGATGCAGTCTTGCTGCTGCTGCTGCTGCTGTTGTTGTGTCTACTGCTGTTGTTGTTGTGTCTACTGCTGCTGCTGTTAGTACTGTTGTTGTTGTGTCTACTGCTGTTGTTGTTGTGTCTACTGCTGCTGCTGTTAGTACTGCTGTTGTTGTGTCTACTGCTGCTGCTGCTGTTGTTGTGTCTACTGCTGTTGTTGTTGTGTCTACTGCTGCTGCTGTTAGTACTGCTGTTGTTGTGTCTACTGCTGCTGTTGTTGTTGTTGTGTCTACTGCTGCTGCTACTAATACTGCTGCTGTGTCTACTGTTGTTGTTGTTGTTGTGTCTACTGCTGCTGTTGTTGTGTCTACAGCTGTTGGTGCTGTTGTTGTGTCTACTACTGTTGTTGTTGTGTCTACTACTGTTGTTGTTGTGTCTACTGCTGCTGCTGTTACTACTGCTGTTGGTGTGTCTACTGCTGCTGCTGTTGTTGTGTCTACTGATGGTGGTGTTGTTGTTGTGTCTACTGCTGCTGCTGTTGTGTCTAGTGTCTACTGCTGCTCTTGAGTCTACTACTGCTGTTGTGTATACTGCTGTTGTTGTGTCTACTGCTGTTGTTGTTGTGTCTACTACTGTTGTTGTTGTGTCTACTGCTGCTGCTGTTACTACTGCTGTTGGTGTGTCTACTGCTGCTGCTGTTGTTGTGTCTACTGATGGTGGTGTTGTTGTTGTGTCTACTGCTGCTGCTGTTGTGTCTAGTGTCTACTGCTGCTCTTGAGTCTACTACTGCTGTTGTGTATACTGCTGTTGTTGTGTCTACTGCTGTTGTTGTGTCTACTGCTGTTGTTGTGTCTACTGCTGCTGTTGTGTCTACTGCTGCTGTTGTCGCTGCTGTCACATTCCCAGCAAACCATTACACCAACCACGTGAAAAAAACGTGTTCATACGAAGCAAAAGTAAAGTCGCCTTGAGGGCACTGTGCCTGTTACATCCGCGAATCAGAGTTCAACTATTTCTGCCCCCAGGGCGGTTCTTGTTTACAAAGCCCCCGCAACGTCATAACGGCGCGAGCGCTTCGGGGTCCTGGGCTCGCGCGGTCGCCTCGTCGCCATGGCGACCACCAGGCGACGCGGGGCTGACGCCCGGCGCGCTGCCTGATTTTAGTTTCGTTATTTCCGCTTCATTTTATCGCATTAAAAAAAGGGGTTCGGGGGGAAAATAAACGCCGCATAGAAAAAATCCGTGCAGAGCGGGCGAGTCTCACGCCCTGTCAAACGTGTCATGTAATCGGACACCTACACAGAAAAAGCGAAGAATTCCACATCAACTGCACGCGGCGTTTCAAAAGCGAACGATTGAACCTCGATTAATGAGGTAAATTTTTCGCCGAATTATCGCCGCGATTTTCACCGGATTCTCATCGCCGCTTTCTTTTTTTAAACATTCGCGGCAAACGCGCGCGCCTTTGTCGGTGCGTCGTGACGTCACGACGCACGCGGTTGCGTCACGCCAGCGTCGTGACGTCACCGCGCGGCCCCTCGCCTCGGGGCGCGTGGGCGGAGGGGGCGTGGTCTCCCAGTTTCTACGTCACGAGGGGGGGGCGGGGCTGCTGAGATTGGAGGGGAGAGCGAAGTGAGAGCGAAGGGAGAGACGTTAATGAGGGGAGAGGGGGGAGAGAAAGGGAGGCGCACAGATAGATGCTGAAGGGAGAGCGGGGAGAGAGATACCAGATAGAGAGGGAGACGGAGAGAGGCAGGGAGAGAGGCAGGGAGAGAGGCAAACACAAGGGAGAGCGCGGAAGCGGAGGGGGGGGGCAGCGAGAATAGATGATATAGGGAGAGAGGGAGAGACAAGGGGAGAGCGAGGGAGGGCGCCCATTCAAACACAATACGTCAGGGGAAGGCCGGGAGAGCAGCAGTGAGAGGGGGAGACACAGGGGGAGAGAGAGAGAGAGAGCGACAGGGAGAGAGCGAGAGATACACAGACAAGCAGGAGCAGGGAGAGCGCGTGAGAGCGACAGGGAGAGTGACACACGCACACACGGGAGAGGGGAGAGGGAGGGGGGCAGAGACACACGCGCAGGGGAGCGCAAGGGAGGGGGAGAGAGAGAGAGAGGCAGGGAGGGAGGGAGGAGGAGATACCGGGAGAGCGGCGGAGAGCGTGCGAGGGAGACACAGCGAGAGCGAGCGAGAGAGAAGAATCGAGAGAGGTTGACAGGGGGGGGGGGAAAGCGAGCGAGAGAGCGAGCGAGAGGGGAGAGAGAGGGGAGAGCGAGCGAGAGAGAGGGGAGAGCGAGCGAGCGAGAGGGGAGAGAGAGGGGAGAGCGAGCGAGAGAGAGGGGGGAGCGAGAGAGAGAGAGGGGGGAGAGAGAGCGGCGGTGGAGATTGGGGGAGTCGGGCTGCCGGTGGCGAGGCCGCCTCTTCCTTCAGTCACGGAGCGCAGCGCCGACATGGCCACTCTCACGAACGGCGCGCAGCTCCATCACCAGCCGCTCGACGCCGAGCGGGACGGAGGAGGAGGAGGAGGTGGAGGACCCAGGGACGCGCACCCGGGCGCCATGAAACTGTTCGTGGGGCAGATCCCGCGCCACCTGCACGAGCGCGACCTCGCGCCGCTCTTCGAGGAGTTCGGCCGCATCCGCGAGCTCACGGTCCTCAAGGACCGCGTCACGGGCACGCACAAAGGTGGGGACGGGGGGCGGGGGGGCTCGGCATCACCACCATCACCACCATCATCAACATCATCACCGGCGGGACCACCATCATCAACATCATCACCGGCGGGACCACCGTCGTCATCATCAACGGTAGCAGCAGCATCAGCAGCAGCACCACCAGCGTGGATAGCACCATCATTCTCATCATCACCAGCAGCACCACCATCAACAGCAGCATCATCACCGGCGGTAGCGGCGGCGGCATCAGCACCACCAGCAGCGTGGACAGCACCATCAGCCTCATCATCATCGGCAGCACCATTATGATGGGCAGCAGCACCATCGTCATCCCTAGCAGCAGCAGCAGCAGGCGGCGGCATCAGCACCACCAGCAGCGTGGACAGCACCAGCAGCATCAGCACCAGCAGCATCAGCACCATCATCGTCATCATTCGTTCTATCATGCCTCGCTCTTTATCTCTCGCCATCCACAATCCTCCCATCATCACCACAATGATGATTTGTCGCTATCCCCCATTATCCCTCATCACGGGCATCATCATCAGCAGCAGCTTCGTCAACCTAGTTATCATCAGCAACATCGCGGAGGTCGTTTAGCATGGGCATCACCGATAGAATAGACACCATATAAGCCAGAAGCATGGATACCATCAGAATCAACATCATCAGAGTAATCATTCGGCAGGTCACTATCGTGGGCATCAACACCATCATTGATATCACAGACAGCATAATCATGGACATAATGAGTGTCATCATCGTAATCTTGGACATCATCATAATTAATTATGGGCATCATCGCCATCATCACAGGGATTATCAGGATGATAATTCTATTATCAATGCCACCACCACCATCACCATAAATCATTACGGTCACCGTCAGCACGGGCATCATCAGCAGCAGCAGCACAGACGGCTCCCGCCACATCCGCCACCATAGCCAGAGCCTTCCATTGTCAGGAGCGTGGAGCGGGCGACAGAGCTAATAAGCACACACACACACACATATACACACATCCACACACACATACAGACACACATCCACACACGATCCACACACACATCTACACACATCCACACAGACATACATGCACACACATCCACACATACGACAAGAACAACAACATCCACACGCATTCACACAGACATACAAAGACACATCCACACACACATACAGACAAAGAGACATCCACACACAAAGACACATCCACACACAAAGACACACACACACATGTCCACTAGCGGGAGCAGCAGCATCCTGATCATATTCACAGTAGAACTCGCATTGTCTCGTTGTAAATACACGGGTAGAGAGAGGGGAGAGAGAGATTTTGAAAAACAGAACTCGTTAAAGAAAAATAAAATCGCCACCGCAATCTGTTGATGTCCCCTGTTGGCGACTGGCTGGAAGAGAGAGCGGCACAGTGAGAGAGAGAGATGGGGGGAGCCATGGTGGCCATTGCCACACCATCACCCTCGCCATCGTCATCACCATCATCGCCATCATCATCGCCTCGCTATTCCACACTCTCACCTCGCCGATATGATTACGATTCTTCCTCACACCGTCTGAACATCGCAATGCTCACTCATCATCTCTGCTTCATCGTCGTCGTCATCAACATCCCTCGCCCTGTGCCATCGTCTCTCATCATCCTGGCCAGTTCCAAATCATTCCTCATCAGTGCCATCATGAAGATCATTGCGATCATCATCCCAAATCATCATCCCGAACGACTTCTCTTCATCGTTATTCGTCATGTCCCCTCATGATTCCTCGTCATCCTTCGCCATCGCTAATCCTCCTCCTCCTCCTCCATCGTCTTCATACATTGCCATCCATTCCTCATCTTTCCACACCATCGCCATCATCATCATTCCTCATCTTTCCACACCATTGCCATCATCATCATTCCTCGCCAGCCCCCATTATCGCTAATCATCCATCATCAGTCCCCTATCAACCCTCAGCCATTGTCAATCATACCTCACTCCCACCCACCCACCTCACCCCCACCCACCCACCCACCTCACCCCCACCCACCCACCAACCTCACCCCCACCCACCCACCTCACCCCCACCCACCCACCCACCTCACCCCCACCCACCCACCCACCTCACCCCCACCCACCCACCTCACCCCCACCTACCCACCTCACCCCCACCCACCCACCTCACCCACCCACCACCTCATCTCACTCACCACCTCATCTCACTATAACCCACCCACTCACCCCACTTCACCCTACCTCACTCCACCCACTCACTCACACCCACCCACTCACCTCACCCCACCTCACTCCACCCACTCCTCATTCCATCCACCCACCCACTCCACCTCACCCTTTCCCCATCCACCTCACCAACTCACCAACGCAGTCACTCACCACGACCTCACCCTCCATGCCCGGCCGAGGAGGAGGAGGAGGTGGCGGTGGCGATGGAGAGGCTCGCAGAGTCAAACTGCCGCACGGCGCGGGCCCCACAGAGCCCTGGGAGGGCCGGGGAAGCCGCGCGGTGTCCCACAGGTGGCTCCAGTGGTGGACGGGGGGGGGGCGAGGTTCCTTCACCTGCGCTCCCCCATTACCTCTGACAGGTGTTTGCGCGGGGCCCGGTGGCGGTGGTTGTGGCTGCGTTGCCATAGACACGCTCCGCCGTGCTCACATCTCCCTACAATTGCGAGCCCCAGCGCACCTCGCCCGAGTTCGAGCCGGGCTCGGGGTGGCAGCCGAGGCGGCGCGCGAGCCGCGTGCGCCCCGAAGCGGCGGGGCGGGAGTGGTCGCGGGGCTTTTTGGGGGATTTAAACACCGGGCAGCCGCTCGCACAATCGATCGATACGACGACGGCGAGGTGTCAATTAATATTAATTACACTGCCCCCCCTCCCTCCTCCTCCTCTTCACCCCCCGCAGCCCCCGTAGCTCCGGTCACGTCAATTACAATCGGGGGGTGAGGACAGAAAGCGGCCTCCACGAGCCGAGATCGCGAGCAGGGCGCTACTCCTCCGATCATAACCGTGGTGGCGATGAACATGAATATTAATGACAATGGCATGATGACAGTGCTGCTGCTGCTGATGATGATGATGGTAATATTAATGAGATGTTAATGATGGTGGCATTAGGGGAGGGAGTGGGGGGGTGTGCACCCGGGGCGCGATCATCCGTGACCCCAGAGTAGCGACGCTCAGGCTTTGTCTGTGCTGCCTTTTCTCTCTCTCCTGCTTGTCTCTCTCATCTTATTTCCACCGTCTCCCCCCTCTCGCTCCCTTCTATCCCCACCTCTCCCCTTGCCCATCTCTCTGCCCTCTCGCTCTTCTCACTCCCTCATATCCCCCCCCCCCCCATCCTCCTCTCATCGCTCGCGTCTTTCTCGATCCTCTCTCTCCCCTCTCACTCCCTTGCCTATCTCTCCCTTCTCGTCAATATTCCTCCTCTGCCTCCACCTTATCTCTCCCTTCTCCTATCTCTGTCTCTCTTCTCTCCCCTCCCTCTCCCTTGTATATTTCCTCTCTTCCTCATCTCCAGCTTCTCTCTCCCTCATTCGGCTGTCTCGAATATCTCTTTCGTCTTCCCAATCTCTCCCTTGTCTCTCCGCTGCCTCCACGTGCCTCTCTCTTGGTTCCCTCTGCTCACCCTTCGGCTGCTCTTGCCTCCATTGTCTCTCGCCTCGCTCTCCCTCTCCCTTGCCTCTGCGCTCGCCTCTCCACTCTCTCCGCTCGCTCCGCTATCTCCCTTGCTTACCCGCTCTCCCTCCTCTCTTGTTATCTCTCCCTCCTCCTCCTGCCCCCTGCTCCCTCCTTGGTTCTTCCTTATCGTCCGCGGTCTCCCCCGCCTCTCTCCCTTGTCTCTACTCGTCTTTTCTTGCCCAGTCTCTCCTACCCCTTGTCTCTACTCGATTCCTTGTTTCTCTCTCCCCCCCATCCCCCCACTTCCCTCCACCTCGCCTCCCCGTGTCTCTTCATTCTCCCATAGTCTCTCCTCTCCTCGCTCCCCATCGTTTACCATCATTTCCTGAATGTCTCCCCCATCTCCCTTCTCGTCCCCCTTCTATCCCTCTTGTTCCCCCGCCCTCCCCCCGCCTCTATCTC